CTATCTTTCGCGTCTGACGCCTTTTGGTAGTAATAAGTAGTTATTGTTAAGTATTTTGTATGAAAGTCTAAATACTACTTTGTTTACATTTTTCTACTTTTATGACATATAATTTCACTGTTAGTTGTACCTTCTTTATTTCAACGTTACAAAATTCATGTTTGCACTTGCTAAAAAATCTTCATTTCTGAGGCATAATGTGCCTTTAAAGACATCAGAATCGTTTTTTTTATAATTCTGTACTACCATTATTAATTTATTTTCATGTTTACTTCATATTACATTACACTGTCTGGTAAATTATAGAAACTTTATTCCTGTCTGTAATGAACAATGATGGATAAAAGTCGGTGTTATTTTCGGGCAGTCTGTACAATATATGAGCCACATCATGACAAAACTAACATAATGGGTTTCGACCATAATGGATTGGATTCATGGACTGCACATTTGGGCAGTCTGATTAGGATCCATGCTGTTGGCTATCAGTTTTGCTGATCAGACTGCGCGGATGCGCAGGATGGTCTGGATCCATGCTGGTCGCAAACGCATTATGTTGGTTTTGTCATGACGTGGCTCAATTATAGTATATGTATTTGTTCATTTATAACTTCTTTAAAATCATCAAGAAATAAGCAGATTTTACTAGTAGAAATCAGCTCTAGTACATAAACATTGCTTTTACGAATGAATAAAACCAGTTTTCATGTATGTTGTCATGAATTAAACCAGTTCTGGCTTGAAAGTCAAATGATACTGACACTGATATAAATGTATGACAATAGCTACATGAACAGTGAACTTTTACATTTTTGGCAAAAATTGGGGGAAGAAAACAACTAAAACCTAATTTTGATTTAATATGAGATTAGAATTTTAACAGATCGTTCAACCTGTACAAAACCATTCATCATTTTAGGGAAAAATTGCAAAATATGTGTGTGCTGACCATTATCAGACTGTCCAGTTGTGCTGGTTGATCTTGACCTGAACTTGTTGCATTAGTAGATTAAGTTGCAACCAGGCTAAATGTTTAACATATATGTAGTGTTAATCCAAAGATATTTAAGAAAAACAATCAGGATGGGCCGACCTGGCACAAAGAAATGGTAAAAAGCTATCTCAAGTTAGCCAAACTGTGTTACGTTACTGACCATTAAAAGTATAAAAACATGAATCATAGATTGCAAAATCTCTTTGTTTCAATAGGACTGACATGGTTGTTTAATAATAATGGCCATATGATATCTATGTGAACAAGATATTAAAGTGAATTGGTCTGTTATATCATAAATTATTATGTTGATCGTATTTAAGTATCATAGATAAAAACAAACCACAAAAGATTTATATGTTGTTGGTAAGTGTTCAATGGATACATGATCTGGTATGACATAAATAAATATATTATAAAAATCTTACACTGGCTGCCGGTACAGACCGGAATATCTAGCTTGACGGTAACTGTTTACAGCGGTAACGAGATTCTGCCAAGTTTCAGCTAAACAGTTACCCGAGAGCTAGATATTCCCATCTGTACCAACAGCGCGTCTTTGATTATTTTTCTTGCATATAACAAATCAATTATTTTCAGAACAGAAATTATGAAAACTGATTTTCTTATTACGCACTTTTTTTTATAGTAACATATGAACTTACAACTTCATTCATAACAATAAAATGACGTCATCCTAATAACACAGTTCATTCTTAAAAGGCTTACATGTGGGGTGTAAGATAGAGTTTCTAGCACCAATGTATTGTAATCACTTAAAAACTCTATCAATATTATGTTTCCTAGAACTATTTCATGTTCGTGTTTGTGTGGCTTGTCTGTTTATTTTATAGAAGAAGAAGAACATTTTATTGACTTAAACTACAAACTTTCTCATCATATACATATACATAAACATATTATACATAAATGATTATTATATAAATTATCAAGTTCATAACTGCTAGATATTCAACAAGTCATAAGAATGTCCAAATGATATATTTCTATTGTTTTTAAAAATATTTGCAATAATAGGCCAATTGTAGACCAATCCACTTTAACAAAGATCTGCATCTAGTTATTGCATAAAAAGTTGTGTTCATTATTTTAATCTTATTGTAGCAATCTAAAGTGATAGCCTATAATATAAAGTCCTAGGTTCTCCATTCTAATCTGACAATTTTGCACAAAATATTGCTATATAAAAATATTTACAAACAAAATGTACAAATGGACTACCATATCTGATAAATGAAATATCAAAAGTGCAAGGGAACTTATGTTCTGCTTTAGTTTATTGGGGCAGAATCTTTCACATTGGGGAATATCTAGATATAAAAATATAAGTAAACACATATACTTATTAATCAGGCAGAATGATACTGCCAGCTGGAAAAGGGATATTTAAGGGGTTCTCTCACTGTCCATTGGTTTAACTTAGTTGACCAATAATTAAACATTATTTCTGGAGAGGCGGAACTACAAGATCTGGCTTAATTCTAAAAATACTTGAGAAATAACTTACATATTTTCTAATCACTATTTGTAAATTTAATTGTCTATGTTTTTAATTTGTTTATCTGTGATAAACTTAATTCTTTTAAAAACATAGGCCATGAATAAAGTCATTAAGTATTTTGTAAATACATGTAAGACCAAATACCACTTTGTTTATTTTCTGCTACTTTTATGATACATTATTTCACATTATTATTTCTCCTTATTTTTTCACCTGATAAACATCTGTTATCCTCTAAATCCATTATAACAACATAATAAAACACTGGTTTACCTATTCTACACTAAAAATGACAAATTGTTTTCATTTCCTAGGGTCCAAAGTGACATATAAGTTGGTCACACAACAGAATAGAACCTGACCATATTTATATACATTTTCAGGTTGGCCTGACTCTGTTCTGATGACAAAGGCTTAACTCTTTGGTTCTAGCAGGTTAATTGATAGGTCCATACTCTGACCTTTTATTTGAATAACTAAACATTTAACCTCAAAAATTGACATGTGTTTTTTTGTTAACAAATATGTTGGGGTGAAATTTGCATCCACTTATCTGACGATAATTAGAATTAGGTAGGTCTGGGATGTATCCATTGGTATATATAATACGAAGCACTCATATTGATTATCAAAGTGTTTTGAAATACAAGTATTTTAAAATATCAAATTTGTGCAAGTTTGCAATTTGGAATTCAATTTCTATTTTGTCACTTTGTAATCATTTTCTCTAATTACATAATTATTTAAAGATTTTTAAGTGTTGATAAAGTTGATAGTAGTTGATAGTTCAGATAAATGTAGGATTGTAAAGAATTATATGCATGTATATTATATAAATGTAAATAAACTAAACTATTTATATATACAATTATAATGTTTCATAACATTTTATTTTGCAACTGATAAATAGACTAAATATTCCTGAACAAAAAGAGTTGAAAGTTGAATTACAAAATTAAAAATCTAGATAACAGATTGATAAAAATAATTGACAAGCTACTGTCACTAGATACTGGCCACTTCCTTATGATAAACTGTCAACATCATAAATTATTAACAAACCTCCTCTGGGCAATTGCATGTATCTAAGTCTAACATTCTTTTCTGTAGAATTTTAAATAAGTGTGCTTAATATTATAAGAAGATGCTGATCAAGTTTGAGTCATTAAAATGTCCCAAAATAAATGGTAGGATATACCATTCATATATTTTTCACTCCAAATTTAAGTTTCCAATATAAAACATTAAAAATAAACTAAATACACACAAATATTTAAAGGGAGACCTATACATAACCTAACCACTGTTATTGACTTTAATCGATAAATGATGCAATATCAAATTATTGAAAACATTTACTTAAACAAAGTTGGAAAAGTGAAATTTAACATATTCATTAAATCATTTTTTTTAGACAGCCATTATTACTTCAATTATTACTATCATAAGAAATACAGACCTTTTGACTTTGATAACAAATTTGGCTACTAACTACTTTAACATAGAGTCAACAGATGTTATAAAACAAAAACATGAACAATGTAACATTAATTTGTGTATGAGTGTGGAAACCTATACATGTGGGATCTAAAAATATTGTAATTTAACCACTATGCAGAACCATTCATTAAACTATCAAAGTAATATACTTTCTAGTATTAAGTTTCAAAACGTAGCCTAGTCCTAACTATAAAACCAACACTAAATAAAAACTTTTGGTTTTTCAGGTTCATTTTCTAAATATCGCCATATCTTCTTGGAAGTTGTTGAATTTATTTCAGCTTGATAGTACAACTTAGAACAAGTTATTTATAACATATTTAAGATGACATTATTAACCAGGTATTATAGTATTTAAAATCATAAGTAATAGGCTAGGCATTTTAGCCAAAAATAAGACCCAACCTCAAACAAATTCCTTCAGAAAAGATATTTGCATATTTGTTATCTACTATATATGTGTTGCTACAGAAAAAAAGTCCTCAAAAAAATTCGAAGTATAAAATGCTAAAAATGTCATGTTTTGAAATCATGTGTTTTCAATTAGAAAAACCTGTGAAATTAAATAACCCAGATATTCTACGCAAATATGATCATTAACAAAGTAACACATTAATACACAAACATGCTTTATTTAATCAAAATCACTTCAACCAATGTTGATTACATTCAAAAAGTCGCAATTGAACACTGCATAATCTATACATCATCATATAAAACATTACCCCACCCACTAATGATAAATTTTTTTTTTTTACTTTTAGTCAGATTCCATTAAATATTCTTACAAGTTAGCTCTACCAAGAATAAAGTTGTATGAATCTATCTAAATTCATATTATAATTCAAAATTGCAATACATTTTACACGAATAATTATTATTTATATACATTGTATTTGCATTTGTGTTCTGAAAATCAATCCTTCAAGTAAATATCTTACCAATGCTAAATTGCACTTACTTTACCATGGAAGTTTTGTAAAAAAATTTATTGTAAAATGACATTTTAAAATAAAATTAATCTTCTGAATGTTAAGACACTGAAAAAACACAATGTTATTTCATCATTTGTGTCACCGAGGCCCGACTATCCATATAGTCTGACAACGCTACACATGTATATATACATATTGCCCTGCCCTTGTTCAATTCTCAACTTTTCGGCCGGTGCTGTTGAAACCTTTAGCCTATACCCTTTTCACAGAGACACATTGTTTTGCATCTGTAAAATAAATGTTACAACATAATATGATAAATAAAAATGCGAACTATGCATTCTGCTTTTATAATAAAACAACTTCATGTCAAACTGAAACTGTAGGTACTATGAAAAGCAAGACAGCATTGTGCTTTTAGATTTATATTTTATATTGAATTATCTACAAATAATTCATACATTAATGAGACACGTTTAGCCTCAGCAAAAACTTGCCCAGCTTTTCTTCTTCAGAAAATAGGTTTCATGTATATTGTTATAACAAATTTAAAGCGTGTAAATTGCCTATCGGCTGAAAGAAGCGCTAACTGTGAAAAATCATAAATGTGCCATATAAGTAGGAAACACTGAACAAAACGGCACCTATACTGTCATACAGATAACTAAATTGGAAGTTTTGGTCGAGTGATTAAGGTCACTGACTTCAAAACACTTGCTTCTTACGGTGTTAACGATGTAGGATGTAGGTTCGAGTCCTGCCGGGGTTTTGGAATCTATTATCTGACATAGCTATCCCAAACTGACTTACATAATATTGGTGGTTTTATGCGCTAAAAACAATACCTATGTCACAATTTTTCCTTCACCAGTAAAGCTTGAAAGTTATTATATGACCTGTAAAGTGTTGATGTGACATAAAAACAAACAAACAAATCTCTGATCTTAGTAATTCCGAGAATGTAAGAAAACTGAATTCCCTTTAGAAAAGTTATATATGCAGTAGCACACAAAATTGAATCTGGTACACCAACTGTGTATTAAAGATATAGAGGGTTTTTCTTTGATTTACCTGTAAATTGCTTTTCAAAAATGCTGGATCTTTTCAAACATAACTCATTTAGCCTCTCCGAACTTGGATATATGGAAAATTCTTGCCACATTCAATTAACGTATTGATTTATGTTCGCCAAAATATAAAAGGCTGGACTCTCGCTAAATATTGTCTTCTGCAATCAACCATCCCATACTATGTTTAGCCCTTCCTCTGAAAATAAGATATATAAAGTCCATAAATCATTATCAAAAAGATATTAAAAAGAAATAGTATTGAAATGATATAATATGATATAACAGGGAAACGCCTGAGAAAATGTTGGTATGAGCAAACTCTTTTGTATGTGCATTAATTATAATCATGCTGTAAAAACAATGATGTAAATTTGTGTTGATATATCAATTTCTGTTGTATTAACAAACCTGAAAGACACATTCAATAAGATATATCTACGTAAAAAGCCATTTTTCTCTCGCATCCCATTACCCCTTGTGTAGAAGTCATGTGTCTATCCATCTTCTAACTAATTATACAACAATACAACAACTGTTCTATGATGCTGACAACAACATGGAAAACATTACTTAAAATATACATACAACTGCCACTGGTATCATGAGGGTAGATTATCAAGCTACACAACGTTGTAAAACAAAATCATTTTCAACAGATGAATGCCATATTTGTATATGATTCAATAACTCTTTGTTAAAATATTTTTTGGAAATAATTTACTATCTACGATATTATTTTCAAAAAAGTATTCGGATAAACCATACATATCTAGCATTTCTTTAACATTTGATACCCATTTTTTTACCATTTATAACAATCAGATAAACTTAATTCATATGTCATCCGTAAAATTTAATTAAAATATTCTTACGTATCAATTTATATACAATGGGAAACGACCGAGTTCGCCGTATATACGAACATTGCTTGTATTGGCTCTAACATTTAAAATTATTTTACAATATTTCAAGTGAATACGCTCAATTATCTTTTGATTTGCTATAACCCCATACTCTCAGATGCATATGATATGATTGAGCCTACAAAAAAAATAAAATAATTGGCATAATAATTTGGGTTTTAAATCCATGTCTTCTGTTAAGAAGTAAAAATAATGTATAAAGTTCCAGTAACAACTTCCTCATTAATAGGTAATAGTTTTAGCTTGATTACACCCTATTGGGTGTAATATAACATATAACATGCTTGAATATTATCATTTCGCTTTAAAAATGCATTAAAATGTATTACAAAAAAACGTTGTTTACATCAAGTTAACATATTATTGTTTTAATTATGATTTCCACAATTCAAAAAACATGCCAACTCTTTGAAATAAGTCAAATTTAACATTTTTAAAAATATCCCTAGATTTTCGTGATTTTGGTCACAACACGCTTCCGTAGAAAGAAAAATTACATAACTTGTGCATACACATTTTTTTTAAATACTCAGTAAGATGTGTGGTTAATTCTGTGTCATTTTAGATAATTGTACAAAAGGAAGCAATGTAGAACAGTGAGTAAAAGATAAACTCTTTTTTAAGGATTACTTCATTCAAAATTGAGTTTAAAATCGCGAAATTATATGACACATTTTGTCATCTGCATAATCGATTGATTGGTGGTCAATTAAATCTATCTACTGACATATTTTCCCCTAATCTATACAGAAGAATATAAAAATGACTAAAATTACTCACCTTTGCACTTGGAATGCTGGAATTGAATTAACTTCAGATCTTTCAACGAAAATGTAATAAACGTGACGTCACCGAACGTGCATAAAATTAAAGTATGGTGTAATTTAAGAGACACATTTAAATATCGATTTTTACTAAATCTTTATGATCGATTTTTCAGGATTCTGCAAGGAGATTTTTTGAGGACTTTTTTCTCAAAATGTAGATAATGTTTATCTTTTATTTAATCGTGAAAACAGTTGTGAAGGAATTAGTTTTACCTTAATTTCTATTATGACTGGCCTATAAGCATTTAACTTGTCCAAGTAATTGTACTATGCGATGAAATATTGTGCTATTTTGTGTATGAGCTGTCCTCTGGTTCTGACCCAGAATGAAAATATATAATTTATAAAAAAAACCAGCTTTGGCATCATGTCAATATATTTTCAGTGTTTAATTGTTTTGGGACTTTCCAATAAACTGATAAATGTATGTTTTTCATTGACTTTCACATGAAGTATTATCTTTATCCCCCTGAAATCAAGATGAACATTCTAGACTGTCAGCAAAAAACTAAAATCTACAACAAAATAATAAATACCAGACTAACTGTGCCTATCCGAATGCTGTTCTACTAAAGTAAATGTATTTTCTACCATGATGACAGTTAGATTATATTCATATTGAACAAATATCTTTGTAAAATGTAAATAGAAAGGCATTACCTTTCAGAATTTTCCGACATATAACGTACTTTTCACATAAATCATCACCATTATCATATTTTTGTAACCTCTCACATTTGACCGTGTGATTTTCACGACCTTGAAATGCTAACGCAATCACCTGCTGTAATGGCGACCAACAAAAGAAATACAAGACACTTACCGGTTTTTACCTGTTTTCTCACTTACATATTGATTTAAATCCATTAAATAACATGATAATTTGAGTAAATTGATATGTATTTAATTATATATGGGCATACGCTTCACCTATTGTATAATACGGTGAAATTCTGTAATCCGTAAAAACAGACATAAAGTGATAAACTGTTAAAACTTAACCCAAAGCTGGGTGCGTCTACAAACATTGAAACAAGACAAGTCAAGTTAGCATTTAAACTATCATGCATGCATATGAAGGGTTTGGTTAACTTAGATAAATAGATTAAATGACGCCGATTAAATTGAATGCTCATTTGGGTCTTTTTTTTTTTGATGTTTCAGAACGATACGTTAAAAAATAAAAAGGTTTAATAGTCCATTTATAAGGGGAAGTCAAACTCAAAATTTGGGACCACTTAACAGTCTGGCCTGGTCTCGGGCTTTGGCTTGCTCGTCTACAGACTGCATGTGTATTCTTAAATGGAAATAAATAAAAAAATATATCAAATTCCATGCCTTTCAATGAAATTTTAGTTGTGCGCCACCATTTTCAGATTAATGATAAATGTCCAGTGTTCCAAGTGAAACGGGAAGAGGTGCATGAAATTCAGAATGGCACCTTTAAAACCGAATAATGAATGACTTCAACGTTCATAGTCTTTGTCTAATTTCATATTATTTATTTATTAGATGTTACGCGGCACATTTATAGGACTAAGTTTTGGTATTATATGCAGCCCCATCTTCTTAGTAAAGCAGCTCTAGGCTTTTTTTACAACAAACATGACTTTTGTATTGACCAATGGGAAAATCAGTTAAAAGAAGTTTTGAGCCTTTACCGCCTTTAATATTCAAATAGGGGGCTTGGGCCAGCATTCCAGCTGACTGGAACATCAGTATTGATATGAAATACCAAAATACCAGTTTCATTACTGTTTGGTCCTGTGATTTGTTAATTTTAGGTCACCTAAATCCTCTCGAATGTATGATGCTTGACATTTTGATTAGTTTCAAGAAAATTCTGCTGCTATATATTCTTCCAAATTTGTGACAAGAAAGAAGATATGAGCTGTGTCACGACAAAACCAACATAGTGCGTTTGCGACCAGCATGGATCCAGACCAGCCTGCGTATCCGCACAGTCTAATCAGGCTCCATGCTGTTCGCTATCAGTTTCTCTACTTGTTATAGGGTTGGTAAGCGAACTGTATAGATCCTGATCAGACTGCACGGATGCGCAGGCTGGTCTGGATCCATGCTGGTCGCAAACGCATTACGTTGGTTTTGTCGTGACGCGGCTCATATATTTTTTCAGGCATTGACAGAAATTCAAAATAAACATTCAGGTATTGCTTCAGTATAATTATGGATTAGGTGATGATAATAATAATAATTTATATACACATAAATTATAACATAATGTTTTTTTTGTAACACTTTATCAATTGAAACACCTCTGGATTTTTTCTCACCATTTTTGAAACACTAGGGCTTACAGGGAAGACTGGATATTTAATTCATTCAGTTTTTTGTTGTTTGTTTTTTTTTTCTTCTTGAAATTTGTAATTTCTCTTCTTCAAACTAGAAAAAAAACATACTTTTTGTTTTGGGATCATGACCTAATATTGGTCATCTAAATTGGCCCAAAATACACCCTTCACCTGTTTAGAAATTGGTATTTATGGAATATGGACAATAAATTAATTAAGATTCATTGATGTGTAACACATTTTCATGCTTTCTTTTGTTAGTTTATCAAATTACATTAACTTCAAAAGATTGCATTTTGTCACCTTGTACTAAACTTTGAAAACATTTTAGTTGATCTTTATACTATGTTGTTGTTAGTAATCAGGCTTAAGATATGTCTAAAAAGCAAAAGAAGCCATTCAGATTAAGCTTAAAATGGTTACTAGATTGTCATGAGATTAAAAAAAATTAATTGATATTTTATATCAAATTTAGGTTCAATTCTAGTAATACAATTTGATATAATTGTCATTATTTTGAAATTTTGTGTTGTATATCTAGTTTGAATTTGGATCAATTATCATCAGTTTTTGATTACAGAAAGATTATATATCTTTAACACTTGGCCTAGATTCTCTGTAAAAACAAATAAAGCATTCAGTGATTTTTTTAAACAAAATATTCGGCGAAATTTGGCCCCATTCCCACCCTTAAAATAGTATTATTTTTTGCCTCACAAAGCCGAAATTTCCCCCTATACGGCAGCCCGAATTTGGCTGCAATGAATTTCATTTTTAGCTCGACTATACGAAGTACATGTATATGGAGAGCTGTCCTACTCGCCCCGGTGTCCGCGTCCAGATTTCAGATTAAAGTTTTGGTGCAGTAAAATATTTTTCACTATAACTTTGTCATTTCTTAAAGTATCAACTTCAAACTTCAAATATATGTTCCTTATCATCAACCACATCTTATGTGACAAGGTTCATAACTCTAGCACCAATATTTTCAGATTTATCTCCCCTTGAACTTAGAATTTTCCTTAAAAAACTATTTTTTACTGTTACTTCTTTATTTCTTAAGGGAATAACCTCATACTTCAAATATATGTACCTTATCATCATCCCCATCTTATGTGACAAGGTTCATAACTCTAGCACAAATATTTTCAGATTTATCTCCCCTTGAACTTAGAATTTTCCTTAAAAAATACTATTTTTTACTGTTACTTCTTTATTTCTTAAGGGATCAACCTCATACTTCAAATATATGTACCTTATCATCATCCCCATCTTATGTGACAAGGTTCATAACTCTAGCACCAATATTTTCAGATTTATCTCCCCTTGAACTTAGAATTGTCCTTAAAAAATACTATTTTTACTGTTACTTCTTTATTTCTTAAGGGATCAACCTCATACTTCAAATATATGTACCTTATCACCATCCCCATCTTATGTGACAAGGTTCATAACTTTAGCACCAATATTTTCAGATTTATCTCCCCTTGAACTTAGAATTTTCTTTAAAAAATATTATTTTTTACTGTAACTTATTTATTTCTAAAGGAATCAACTTCATACTTCAAATATATGTAACTTATCATCATCCACATCTTATGTGGCAAGGTTCATAACTCTAGCACTAATATTGCAAGAATTATCTCCCCATAAACTTATATTTTTTTACTAGAAAAATGTTAATTTTTACTATAACTTTTTTAGTTTTAAAGGTATCTACCTCAAACTTCAAATACTTATTCCTTATCATCAATTACATTTTATGTGACAATGTTCGTTACTCTTGAAGCAATATTTACAGATTTATCTTTCTTTGAACTTAGGATTTTCTTTAAGAAATATTATAACTTCTTTACTTTTAAAGGTATCTACTTCAAACTTCAAATATATATTTCTTATCATTACACACATGTTGTGTGAAATGTTCATAACTCTAGCATGACTTTTTCTAGAATTATTCCCCTTAATCTTGGAATTTATGTTAACAAATGACTGGTTTTTTTTAATAAAACTTAATACATAATTATACATAATTGGTTTTTCTTTCATAGTTTTGTCCTCCTTACTGCGTCCAGTATTTTATGAGTCAAGCTTGGCTGTCTCCTGTGACAGCTCTTGTTTTTTTTAGCTCACCTGTCACAAAGTGACATGGTGAGCTTTTGTGATTACTTTTCATCCGGCGTCCTTCCGTAAACTTTTACTTTAAACATCTCCTCATAAACGGCTAAGCCAATTTCATCCAAACTTCACAGGAATGTTCCTTTGGTAGTCAACTTTAAAATTGTTCAAAGAATTTAACTCCAAGCAGTTGCCATGGCAACCGAAAGAAAAAAGCTTAAAATATCTTCTTTAGAAAACTGAAACATGAAACATCATCTAGTCAATGTCTACCAAGTTTGTTCAAATAAATGCCCTGTGGTCAAAATTGGCCACGCCGCACCCAGGGGGGGGGCATTGATTTTCCTTATTTATATATTCGTGTGTTCCTCACCTACTTTATTCATTATTTATATATTGTAAAAACTTAATAAATATTCTTTTAAAAAACAAAAATAGCTAGAGCTTAGATATTAAGCATGAAACATCATCAAGTGAGTGTTTACCAAGTTTGTTTAAATAAAAGCCCTTGGGGTAAAAATTGGCCCTGCCCTTGGGGGGCATTGTTTTTCCCTTTATGTATATAGTAAAAACTTAAAAAAATCTTCTTTAAAAATCCCAAAGAGCTAGAGCTTAGATATTTAGCATGAAACATCTTTTAATGGGTGTCTACCAAGTTTGTTCAAATAAGGGCACTTTGGTTAAAATTGGCTCCACCCGGGGGTCAATTTACCAAATTTCATAGTCAAAAAATTTCCAAATTTGAGTATGCATGGACCTGTTGTTAAAATGGTGCAAAGCACAATTTCAAGAAAATGATTCAATTATTATTTTTACAGATCTGATGTATGATGATAATAATTAGGTGAGACCAGAAAATGATGGAAAAGCGTGTCAAACTGAAGAAGGTGAATCCATGTATAACATGTGGATTGTGTAAAGGTTATCTAGTGGAGGCAACTACCATCACAGAATGTCTACATACATGTAAGTTTTTTATTTATTCAGATGTGGACCTCAATGACTTTAAAGTGACATTTTGCTCATCCAAAGGTATATCGTTAGTGAACAGATGAGAGTCAAAATAAGTTTTATTTTGTAATAATTCCTTTCCATGTTTTTTATAATATAATTTACTTCACATGAAACATGAATAATTCACATGGCCTTTGGAAATTTCTGTAAATATCCATAGGAATTTACCTGCAAAGTTTATAAAGAGAATGGGGCAGTCTTTTCTATGTTTGAAAAGGCATATTTATATTTTAGCATATATATATTTTATCTTTTAACATATTAAATTATCAACTGTATGTCAATTACTATTACAACAGTCAATCTTTTTAAGTACAATATATGTATACACAGTTCAGCTCAAACAAACCCAAACACACACATTGACAATAAACAATCTCACTTAAAGCTGTACAGTAAAGATGTTAAATGATCCATTTGAATTGTGAAATCTGCACTGGTATCAGTGTGACTTGGGTCATTCCTGAATTACAGAATTTTCTGACTCAAAAGTCTTTTTTTCTGTACAAAAGTACATACAGGTAAAAATGCTTAATTTAGGATTTTCAAAACTTTTTTGATTTTAAACTTTTACCATTGGTTTCATCATAATGTTATGATCAGTTCCCACAGAAATTTTTGAATATTTGTAAAAATAAAATTAGTTTTGTTTAAAAAAAACAAACAATGGCACATTGTGTAATGACTCTTTACCATCTTTGTGTTAGTTGCTACTTTGTAAACTCCAAACAAATCATGACCTTATGATGAACCTTATTTTTTTTTTTTTTTATAACAAATTTAGAAATGCATGTCATATACATGTAACATCAATATAACAATATAATTCAGATAATGTTACTGCAATACAATTTGACAAAACAATTTCAATATACAAATACTGATGAACCTTATTTGATGATTCAGATTGCCTTAATTATCTAAGACCCATCCTCAGTAACCGAGGCTATTAATGTTTACTAGTATATACAGAATGTATACCGTGGGTTCGGACAATGCTAAGACTAGGCTTCTTTTGATACACATGTATTATAAAATGGCATGAAGACTAATACAAATTGTTGCTGTCTTTAAATATTTGTATAATGATAATATGAGCCGTGTCACGACAAAACCAACATAGTGTGTTTGCGACCAGCATGGATCCAGACCAGCCTGCGCATCCGCGCAGTCTGATCAGGATCCATGCTGTTCGCTTACGAACCCTATAACAAGTAGAGAAGTGATAGCGAACAGCATGGATCCTGATCAGACTGCGCGAATGCGCAGGCTGGTCTGGATCCATGCTGGTCGCAAAGCCATTATGTTGGTTTTGTCATGACACTGCTCAATTATAAATTTAATTTGGAATTAAATCTATTACAGTTTGTCGGAGTTGTCTTGTGAAGTTTCTGTTAGAGAATAACACATGTCCTAGATGTGGTATACTGATACACCAAAGTCATCCACTGAACTACATTAGGTAAGTCATTAATTTCTGAACCTATTATTGTATCTTGTGTTTAACTCAATTTAATATCTCTCTGATAATATTTAATCTTTATCTAGTCCATTCTGATTAAAATCAGCTCTAAATAACGCTCCGCATTTAGATCTGAGCGTGACCAAATTCAAAATCATTTCTGTTTACCTTTCACGCGAGCTTTCATAATTTTGATGTGGTTTCTAATTTTAATCCTGGAAAAACCAATACTGAGTAGGTAATTTTCACGATTTCAAGAACAAACATGGCATTGTCTATATAGGCGACAGGTAAATTGGCAAAACAATCTGGCTCTGACATTACAAACTGACTATTATTTCAAATTAATTTGTTAAAAATCACTTCAAACATTTTTTTCTAACAAAAATCAAAAATTTGTTTAACTTCCATGGATGAAGGTATTTGATACTTCTTCTAATGCCTTTGAAAAAAAACCTGTTTGATAGCATGGTTAAAAATAGCTTTCTCGGGAAATCCCAAATTATAAAGAAGGCGAAACATATACGGTCGTCATCAGATCTACATAAAAGAAAAAGTAGATCTGAACTTTAATAAGATTATATCTAGTCATAGGTGATGTATCATTTGTTTGTTTTGTTGGTTTTGTACATTGAATTTTACACATTTTCGATCATATCTCGGCAGTCTATTCATCCAACCAGTTTTCCTGGATAACTAACCAGTAATTAGTCATTTCTTTGCAAGTGACCAACTACTTATAGCACATGATTTGTAAAACATCAGTGAGAGACAATAACAATTAGACTTGATGTTACAAAACCAATGCTCTCCCTATTAAGCTTATCAAGTGGACTTCAGTAAAATTAAATTAAATTAATCAATGACTTAATTTTAAAATGGCCCGTCAGTGGCAAAGTTGTTCCTGTTAGTTAATTCCATTCATTTGACACTTGACCCTTACTTTGGCCCGGCATCCATTTGACACTTGACCCTTACTGTGGCCCGGCATCCATCTGACACTTGACCCTTACTGTGGCCCGGCATCCATTTGACACTTGACCCTTACTATGGCCCGGCATCCATTTGACACTTGACCCTTACTGTGGCCCGGCATCCATTTGACACTTGACCCTTACTTTTGCCCGGCATCCATCTGACACTTGACCCTTACTGTGGCCCAGCATCCATCTGACACTTGACCCTTACTGTGGCCCGGCCTGCAGGTTTCAATTCCTAAAAGGACACAAGGATTTTGTTCATGTAAGAAAGACTCTGAGATAAACTCACAGAAATTTGGTACCAGTACATGTATTTTTGTGGTGTTATCCCAGCCCTAAGATAATTGACAAATGGGCTTCAGAGATGTTAAAGCTAAAAACTTCCTATATTACTTAATTTGATGTTGCTTTTAAAAATAAAATATATAAAAATAATTTAAGTTATGTAACTGGTTATCTGGATAGGTATTTAGTTCTTTTGATTATTGTTATTAAATTTTACTGATCTGACTTTCAATGTATTTCAGTCATGACCGTACAATGCAAGATATAGTGTACAAACTGGTGCCAAATTTACAAGAAAGTAAGTAATTAAGCAGTTTTAAAAATTTAATTGACAATATTGTTAATTTCATTAATTATTAATCCTTAAATCCAAAAGTAAAGTATGAAATTTGTAAAGAATTTATTATAAACAGTATTGAAATCTGTGTTAAGTTTTGTAAAATATTTGAAAATTGTATCACTATCTTTCATCATTTATGATTGCTGAATTTGTATCGCTCACTTATCAATGTATGAGGGAACAATTTTACATGAAATATTGTTACAGTTGAGTGCATACCTACCTACATTTGTATAATTACAACCTCTGAAAACTGTGTCAGGGAATCGATTCTTGTTATATTTAGCATTGTTACTCTTGCTTATGAGGTGGCAAGTTTGAACACCAGCCACATTTCGACCTTTTCTTATGTATTTGCATCATTTGTTACAAACTAAATATGTTACTTTCCAAGGTTAAGGACTGTGTATTGCTCTTTTCTGGTGCTTACTTGTGCCTGAAATAATGCACAAGAGATAATCTGAAGATTTTCACTGCCAGCAAAACTTGAGAGAAACCAAAAATGACTTAAACATTGTCTCCTTAACTTAATTTTTAATCTACAAAAATCCAACAAATACTTAAAGGGACTCCACTGAGGTTTAAAAGCCTGAAAACATAACATTTGAATATCTTACATTAATGAGCTGGAGCACTTTAAACAGATTTTTAATCTACAAAAATCCAACAAATACTTAAAGGGACTCCACTGAGGTTTAAAAGCCTGAAAACATAACATTTGAATATCTTAGATTAATGAGCTGGAGCACTTTAAACAGATTTTTAATCTACAAAAATCCAACAAATACTTAAAGGGACTCCACTGAGGTTTAAAAGCCTGAAAACATAACATTTGAATATCTTACATTAATGAGCTGGAGCACTTTAAACAGAAATATATGCAAAGATAGTTAAGAAATATACTTTGAAATAAATTGAAAATCGTATGTTTATGCTTTTTGTAGGCCGATTTGAGTGAAAAGCGTTTAAACACTTTTTATTTTGGGTCAGTTTTTAAATTTGAATAATTTTGCTGGAAAAACTGAGTGCGCGAATGATCTGAAATTTTGCACAACAATTAGTGGTCTAACCCTTCATCAAATGGTACATTTATCTGGAAAAAATGAGCAGTGTCATGACAAAACAAACATAATGCGTTTGCGACCAGCATCCGCGCAGTCTGATCAGGATCCATGCTGTACACTTACAAACCCTATTACAAGTAGAGAAACTGATAGCGAACAGCATGGATCTAGTCAGACTGCGCGAAAGCAGGCTGGTCTGGATCCATGCTGGTCGCAAATGGTCATTGGTTTTGTCATGACACGGCTCAAATATTTTCAGTCCCATCATGTCAAAAAAACCTCAGTGGAGTCCCTTTAAGTTGAAGATTTGAACAGTGAATTGCTTTTGGGTTAAGAACTGAAAAGAGTAAAATTTGTTTATTCTTTAACAAAACAGTCCTAATGAAAATGATTGTTTTGAACATGCAATACACATCTAACATGCTTCATACCTTTCCCCTATTAAACAAACAAGGGCAAATAAGTGCATTATTATACAATGGAATCGACCTTCATATTATATTTGTTGTGCATTTGAAAACAAACCATGCATAATTCTACAACAATGCACTCAAAATTGATATCTACTTCTAAAGTATGTTATACCTTATTTGAAATGAAGATTTTATATAAAGGTAGGTATACTAATCTACAGTGCTGTATAATAATTGATTATTTTTTAGGTGAAAAGAGGAGACAGATAGAATTTTACAAGAAAAAGGGTCTTCAAATGCCACATGGAGATGGTAGGTCTATTTTGTGTTTTGTTGATGAGTTTAAACTAGTGTCTTCATATAGAGTTTCTTTATTAATCCTGTATTGAATTATGTTTATAGAAACCAATAATAAATAATTTGATTTTGGGGTTAGTCAGACTCATGGTTATTTATTGGCTGATGTTTGGTTGTAATTTGAAATCGACCATTAACAAAGTAGCATTTGTAAACTGGTCTTCAAACCTGTCAGGGGCAAGCAGTTGTTTCCTTGAGCAAGAAACTTTACACCCATTGCTTAGTACTGGTTGGTATCAGGAATGGATTAGAGAGTGTTTCAATAAGCGTTTAGTTTCCAACACAATCTAAAATAAATTCCTATAAACTGAACAATCGTGTAGTTTGTAACAGAAATAAATGTACTGTCATAATAAAGCAAACTCTTAAAGTGACTTTATGCTCATTTTTAGCTCGACTATACAAAGTATATGGAGAGCTGTCCTACTCGCCCCGGCGTCGGCGTCCGCGTCCAGATTTCAGATTAAAGTTTTGGTGCAGTAAAATATTTTTCACTATAACTTTGTCATTTCTTAAGGTATCAACTTCAAACTTCAAATATATGTTCCTTATCATCAACCACATCTTATGTGACAAGGTTCATAACTCTAGCACCAATATTTTTAGATTTATCTCCCCTTGAACTTAGAATTTTCCTTAAAAAATACTATTTTTTACTGTTACTTCTTTATTTCTTAAGGGATCAACCTCATACTTCAAATATATGTACCTTATCATCATCCCCATCTTATGTGACAAGGTTCATAACTCTAGCACCAATATTTTCAGATTTATCTCCCCTTGAACTTAGAATTTTCCTTAAAAAATACTATTTTTTACTGTTACTTCTTTATTTCTTAAGGGATCAACCTCATACTTCAAATATATGTACCTTATCATCATCCCCATCTTATGTGACAAGGTTCATAACTTTAGCACCAATATTTTCAGATTTATCTCCCCTTGAACTTAGAATTTTCTTTAAAAAATATTATATTTTACTGTAACTTATTTATTTCTCAAGGGATCAACTTCATACTTCAAATAAATGTACCTTATCATCATCCACATCTTATGTGACAAGGTTCATAACTCTAGCACTAATATTGCAAGAATTATCTCCTCATCAACTTAGATTTTTTTACTAGAAAAATGTTATTTTTACTATAACTTTTTTAGTTTTAAAGGTATCTACCTCAAACTTCAAATACTTATTCCTTATAATCAATTATATTTTATGTGACAATGTTCATAACTCTTGAAGTAATTTTTACAGATTTATTTCTCTTTGAACTTAGGATTTTCTTTAAGAAATATTATAACTTTGTTACTTTTTAAGGTATCTACTTCAAACTTCAAATATATACTTCTTATCATTACATACATGTTGTGTGACAAGGTTCATATCTCTAGCGTGACTATTTCTAGAATTATTTCCCTTTATCTTGGAATTTATTTTAACAAATGTTATTTTTTACTTTAACTTAATACATAATTATACATAATTGATTTTTCTTTCATAGTTTTGTCCTCCTTACTGTGTCCAGTATTTTATTAGTCGAGCTTGGCTGTCTCCTGTGACAGCTCTTGTTTCATTGTCAACTTGAGTTAAATGAGATATATATTTCAAATGATTTACTATTTTAATGGTGACTAACCAATTATTGATATAGGTAATTAGAATTGTGTAAGATGAAATATAAAAACAAAGATATAAAAAGATTGTTCTACTATTTTTATCAACTGAGCATTATCAATATATTATAAAGGATATTTGTAGAAATTTCCATGTGCCACATGGGTTATTGGATATTCATTAAAAGTTGAAACTGGAAACAAATGTGGCAAAATTCAAACATATTTTTACTTTTTGAGCACTCGAAACATTTAACACTTGGATAGGCATAATGTCACTGCTAAGGCAAGCTGAGCATCACAATGCTATTTTATTTCAATATTTGAGCCGATTCACAACAAAACCAACGTAATGGGTTTGCGACCAGCATGGATTCAGACAAGCCTGCGCATCCGCGCAGTCTGATCAGAATCCATGCTGTTCGCTTACAAACCCTATTACAAGTAGAGAAACTGACAGCGAACAGCATGGATCCTGATCAGACTGCACGGATGAGCAGGCTGGTCTGGATCCATGCTGGTCGCAAACCCATTATGTTGGTTTTGTCATGTCGCGGCTCATTTTATCTCCAGCGTATTTTATTTTATTTCCATATTTTATCTTCAGCATACGAGGATGACAAGAAGAATATTGAGAAGAACTCTCCAGATAAGGAGGATAATAAAGACTATCATCGTCTCGACGAGCAAGTGAACGTGTGTCTTGAGTGTCTCGAAATTAACGTTCTGAAAAGTTTAAAACGTAAAATACTTAGACTGTCTTCCCAAGCCACTGTGACTCATTTAAAAAAATTTGTGGCTTTAAAAGTGTTTGGAACAATAGATCGTTACAAAGATGTAAGTATATACCCTTTACTATCGCTAGGGGAGATAATAACTGACCTATGCCCCCAGTATAGATTTTGACCAGACTGCACATACTGTCTGACCATATTTTTTTGCAGTTTGCTTGCAAGTTTTTTTTCATTTCTTACGTTTTATTACATGCCCAAAAACATTTCAGCATATATTGTTTTGCACCTGGTCATAATGTCTGATTGATAGCAATTTTGTGTCCACTCAGTATCTTTTGAAAGGGCATCTATGGCTGAGTGTTGAGGTTCTTAATGTCAAACCACTTTGTCCTCACCTCTGTGGGTTCAAATTCGCCAGGAACTTTGAATACTTTTTTGTGAGGAAACTATCTAGCTAGCATGAGGAATGTCTGTGCTTATACTATGGTACCCCTTTCTGCCTGAAATAATTCACAGAGGTCTATGAGTAAGGTTTTGACCTTTACCAGGTTGGTGGCATGTAACACCCAACAACAACAACAAAAGTTTTTTTTGGGGATCCAAAAAAAGGAAAAGGGCCCCACTTTTTGGGCGGGAAATGTTAAAAAATTTAATGAGACAATATTAAAAGCACATGTTTGCCCTTTCCCTGCAGTAAAGGGGTCACACATATGACAAAGTTTTTAAATGTATAAATTTTCCTTTAATTTTTTTCTGCCGTCTTTTTATTTTTTAAAAACAAAAGAGGAAAACTAAAACTACATGTATTTAGAGAAAATGTGATTTTTCTATGATTTTGTGTGAGTATCAGTTAAATAACCATTCGTATATTTTCAGATTGATATACTTTGTAACAATGAATTATTAGGAAAGGACCACATGTTAAAATTCATTATTGCAACTAGATGGAGATTAGTGGTAAGTTTTTTTTTCCACATGCTTATTTGTTTATTTTGACAATTTTTAGCTCACAGATCGAAAGCACAAAAGTGCTAAGTGTTAGGTTTTTGTGATTGCGTTTTTTACTATCGTTCAACAGTCTTACATGTACATCTGCTGTTGATGAGCTTATTTGGTCTTTGTCATCATCTGGTTGTTGAAAGATTTTCTCCTCAGAAAAACTAGGCTAAATGGAATGAAACTTGTCTGTAATGCTCCTTGTTTTGAGTTGTACTGAAGAAATTCAAATGTTTTTTTGTTTCTTAATATTTTTTTGTTCCAAAGATAAAGTTGGGCTGTTATGATTGTTATGTCACCATTGTTGTCAGTGTGCAAAAAATTTAAATGTAGCCAATATGTCAAAACAGTTTTAAAGGTATCAACAGATGTAGATTGAAGACAAGGGGATAATTCTTAAGGCAATAATTTAGAAACATGCCTCTTTTTATCTTAGAATTTTGTCTTAGAATTTTGTTAGAATTTTTTAATGTGAGGAAAGAAGCATTCTAATATGTTTTTCACATAGCATTTATTACCTCCCCTGGTCGCCATTTTGAGGGGCATTCCGAATATATTTTATTCCTAAAAGAAAGGATAAAAGTCTCTTATAATTCTATCATCTTCATGAAAACTGATGTTTTACATATTGATACTTTAATAATAATTGCTTTCATATGTACATGTATAAAAGATGTTTACTGTTCAACATAAACCACCTGTTTATATTGATTTCTTCATATTTCGTCAATAATATCATATCGAAAATTGATCCCCAAAATGGCTGCCATTTATAGCAATGGAGGTAAATATTGTAAACCTTGGGAACTGTCTTTAGAAAGCCAATTTTAAAGAGATTTCTGTGTTAGAGAAGAGGTCAATGAGATTTTATGTTGTTTTTTTCAGGATGAGCCATTACTGTTACATTACCGAAAAAGGATGGAGTTGTGATTTAGACTGGGTCATGGCCATAATTTACAGTGATAACAGTTGTAATCTTGTTCCATATCAAACGTTTGGACACTGATTTACTTTTATTACATTTACTTTTTTATATATCATTTCCTGCAATTCATACAGAATTTAGTGCTTTTATTAAGTTTGCAGTTTTAAACCCCAGTAAATGTTTCACAGAATGAAGGTCAAGGAAACTTTTTGAATATGATACTGTTGTATTTAAGCAATTCATGGAAGAAAAATTGACCACTTTTATTCTACAATCTTTTTTTGCTTTTAAACCATAGCCTTACAAAATTATACTTTACGGTGCCATAATCTTTGAGGTCATATTATTTTTCTCCAAGATTGTTAGTTTTGGTCTAACACTATAATTATTGTCATTACAGTCATATGCAAACAATTGTTTTAATCAAAGGGCCATTATGTTTCTGAAATGTTATCATTTGTTTTTCTCATAAACCTGTTTATTTTCAGTATCTTATAACAGTTTTCAAAAATATACTAATTTACTACATACATGACCTATCTATTTCATCTTGCAATTCGTATAATTATTGTGAATTACTATTTTGTAAGGAAGTCAAAATACTTCTTTGTTTACATTTTGCAACCTTAACGGTTCAGCACTACTTTTGTCAGTTATCTAACATGCTCTTATTCCATTTAACACATGCATAACATTTCTAAAGATTTGAAAAAAATGTAGATTTCTGAGGCATAATTTGCCTTTAAACAAGTGTCTTTAGGCTTGTTTTATGAATAATAACCTTTTCTAATTTCATGTTGATTATTTGAGTTACTATTCTCATGAAAAACTTCATTTGGTAATGAATTTATGATTTTCAATCGACTGCTTGTAGATTTGCAGTTCTGAGTTGATTTTTTTTTTCTTGCTTCATTTTATAATTTAATTTAAAATTTGTTTAGTATCAAAGTCTGTTTGATATTTTATTTTATTGTGAAGATTACAATTAGAAAAAGACACCCCCAGGAGGTTGCTTAATTAGTGACCATTCTTTATTTAATGAGACATTCTTTTAGATATTTATACAAAATTTAAAAGGTTTTCCTACAATATTGAATGTGTCCTGGATGGGTTATAGAGCAGATGTAACTGTATTTTCTTACATCTCTCTACAAAACCAAGAATAACAACATGTTGAAAATTGCTTTTGTTAAATCAAACACACTTTTCCTGTAAAAAGAGTTAGGCTGTATTACTCTTAAATTTAATGCTGACAGTATGCCCCCTTTTATATATTGTAGGATTTTTTTTTTATTTGGTTAGTGTTGATTTGAGCTACATATTAATAGTTTTCTATCCCAGAAGGTCTGAACTTGTTTTTGTTTATTTTACCAGTTTTTTTAAACTGGATGAAAAGAAAGAATACAAAGAAACCTCATGTCAACACTGGATAAATGTTAACAAAATTTTAATAAAGATCTACCGGTTTCTACCCTGTCTAGTTTTTCACCGTTTTTTTTAAAGAAAAAGTTGAGCTATTTGACTGTGGCATTATTTATTGTAGCCAATTATTCAGACATTTCCAAAGATATTGAGATGAAATTTGGAATACTTGTGCATCATGTTAAGCTGTGAGTCAAGGGGAACAATTCTGAAAGCAATATTTTAGAAGTTATGCCCCTTTTCAACTTGGAATTTTTACCAGACAAGTGTTAATACCACCTGCGGTGCTCTTATTTTTTTTCTGGTATTTAGAACAGAAAAACAAAATTGATCTAAATTTGCTGTTGTTTTATTTTTATTTACATATTTGATTGTGCTATAATCTACAAAAGTATAATTTATTTACATTACAGTGCAGCCCCTGCATATATGCCCATTTGTGACCTTGGCTGTGAAAGGGTCAAATCAATTTTGACCACATAGTTTTGACATTGGCACCAAATTTACACAGAAATGACATCCTTATATTAAAGTTAATATACAAAAGTTCAGTTTAAGGTCACTGGTACAAAGTCAAAGTCACAAAAGGAAATTTTCAATTATTGTTGATAAGGGACCATTTTTTGTTTCATAAATATTTTTTTAAAGAATACCAGATTGCTTTTCATTTGCATACTAAATTACATTACTTAAACAAAAATCAAGGTCCCTGTTTTTAAAAATAGAAAAAGGGATTTTTTTTTAAAATTTGGTTTGTTAACACATACCTTTTTGTTGATTCTTTCTGTAAGTAATTTCAAACTTTCTGTAAGTAATTTCAATATTAATGAGCAAGTTGAGGAAACCTGTTTTTGATCATTATTGAATGTTTCATTGTATAATTTATGGTATTGAAGAAAGGCTTCCATTTTATGATTAATTTCATTAATTAAAATATATAATATATTTGTTTGCCTTGAACTGTTACTTGATATATAGGTCAGTTGAAAATTCAGCAGGCATGTACATGAACAATTGTGTAAGTGAAATATAAAAGAAATTACATGAAAGTGATATACATATATTCTGTTTTTTGTGAGAACAAAGTACTTTTAATTATCAATTTTATAGACAGTTACTGTAGTTTTCATAAAATAAGCTACATTGGTCAATTAAAATTTAACTGATGAATAATAGTGTGGGATTTAAGATATATCTCACTGATGATTTTACAATCAGTGATATTGATTATATCACACTGATGAATTACTGTTAGTGAACTATGTTCTATTTAACAGTTAATGATATGATAATTTATATCTAATTGATGAATCATTCTTAGTTACCCATTGATGAAATTACATATCACACTGATTAAAGTTAGTGATAAATATTGGATTATGTATACTTCACAGCTGTTGATATACTCCTACATGTATGATTTGTCTCACTGAGGCATAATACAGATATCATCTCACAGAAGAATTTGAAAATCAGTTATATATCTCACTGAGGAATTAGAGAATTAAATAAATCTCACTGAGGAATTAGAATATTAAATAAATCTCACTGAAGAATAAGAAAAATCAAATAAATCTCACTGAGGAATTAGAAAATCAAACATATCTCACTGAGGAATAAGAAAGTTCAAATAAATCTCTCTGAGGAAATTAGAAAATCAAATAAAATTCGATTATTTTGTGTAAAATGATTTTTTTTGTATGGGAATTGCCATTTTAATTGTAGCATTGAAATTGCTGTTTTAAATTCAAATATATTTTTGCCTCAAAGAAATGACAATGTTGTAAAAGTAATAATTTAATGGAAAAATTGAATACAATAGATACTTTAATATATTGAAAAAATGAAACCATTCCTGTTTGAAAAGGAAAAATAAGTATTTGGTAAATAAATATGCTTTTTTAGGATGATCTATGCAAAATTATAAGCAATGAAAAATAAATGTGATGTGTTGTGAAGGAATATTTTCTATTGTTGTATTACAACTTTCTTAATGCTCCTGGTGAAATTTATTTGCCAATGCAACAAGTACGGGGCCATTCCTATTGGATATTATTTAGTTTTAATCTTTATTAAACATTCACATGATGAAACTTATTCAAGTCTTTTTTACATTATTGTTTTTTCCGAAGAAGCTAAAGAAATTTTAGTATATATGATTTTTCTGTTTGTTAGGAGTATAGAATTTTATACTATTTTCAGAAATGAAACTGAAAATTGCGATATCTTTCTTATATTTTACATATAACAGTCAAAGTACTGCCCATTTTTTATTACATTAAACATTTTTTCTTTGTCCAATTAGTATTATTGAAATAATCAAATGTTTGTTTGTTGTTTATATTCACAACAAACACTTAAGTACGAGGGTACTTTTGTATTTCTTTAATAAATATTGTTATGCACATATTAAATTTACTTTGTTGTTGTCTTTTGTCCAATTTCATAGTCTTTTGCCCGGTTTTGAAGTATTTGCTTATTTTCATACAAAGTTGTACTCTTGCTCCAAATCTCTTACATGAGTTTTAATTGTTGAGGAAAGTTAATATTTATGATAATGACAATGATTATATTATGATGTCCACCTGGTTTCTGAAAATCATCCTGCAAGAATCAAACATGATAAAGAGTGTCTGTCCTTGTTTTTAGGTCACCTGTCAGAAAGTGACAAGGTGAGCTTTTGTGATCACAATTTGTCCAGCATCCATCCAGTTTACTTCCGGCATCTGTAAACTTTTACTTCATATGACATCTCCTCATAAACCACTAAGCCAATTTCATCGAAACTTCACATGAAAGTTCCTTGGGTGGTCACCTTAGAAAATTGCTCTAAGAATTTAATTCCATGCAGAACATGCCATGGCAACAGAAAGAAAAACAACTTAGAAAATCTTCTTTTAAAAAAACCCAAAGAGCTAGAGCTAAGATATTTGGCATGAAGCATCTTCTTGTTAGTGTTCAAATGAAAGACCTTTGGGTGAAAATTGGCCCTGCCCAAGGAGGTCATTGATTTTCCTTATATGTATATAGTAAAAATTTCTTTTAAAAACCAAAGAGCTAGAGCTTAGATATTAAGCTTGAAAAATCTTTTAATGGATTTCTACCAAGTTTGTTCAAATAAAAGCCCTGGGTTCAAAATTGGCCCCACATTAGGAGGTTATTGATTTTCTTTATATGTGTATTGTAAAAACTTAAAAAAAGAAGAACACAAAGAGCTACAGCTTAGATACTTAGCATGACACATCTTCTAGTGAGTGTCTACCAAGTTTGATTAAATAAAAGCCCTGGGATCAAAATTTACCCGCTGTGTTGGTGTGATGTAAAACCCAACACACACAAAGAAATCTCCTTTGTTTTCAAGCAGAGTACTGCATCAGATTTGCTTAGTTCTTATATGCAGATTCCCAGCACATTTTAGCTGTCATGGGAGAAAATAATTTAATCTACTTTTACGTAGAGGACATTATATAACGTATAATAATACATAATTTATTTAACTTTCTTTAATTATAGAACAGATATTTATCACAAAATCTTGTAACATTCCAGAACATATATACAAATACTTAAGTATATGTTTTTATTAAGAACATGATTATTATAATGTCAATTCAACACTCCTATATCTGTGATATTTCCGTGTAAGCAGTTTTCATCATGCAAACTATGCACTGTTAATCAACATCTTCAAATCCTGAAAAAAATAGTTAATATTGAATATCAAAATTTTGAAGTAAGGGAGGTAAGTGCATTAGTATTAATGTAATTGTAAGCAAGCATATTTATCTCCCTTGAGTAAAACTTCGTTACATGTAATTAAATTGTGTACTAGTATTGTTTCTATATGTTCATGTTCTCTGGAGCACTGGAAGGAGGGAAATAACAATTGGTTTCCGGGCCTCTGAAACAAATGGTTAACCCTTAACATGCTGGAACTGAAAGTGGTCTTTGCCATCTACAAACACCAGGACAGGTTGTATTGTGGCGCAGTTTGCCAGAGGAACTTGATATCTTCATCTTGATATCCTCATAATTGATAATCAGCACACAAATGAAAGCTGGGCAAGTCCATGTTAGAAATTCAGCAGTTAAAGGGTTAAGGTATCGCTTGCCTCTCAACAATCAATTTCGGTTTAAAGCTCAGTGCCTTTACAATCGTAACTTTTCGACCCTTTACGTCAGTCTTCGGATAAATTGTTATAAACAATAGCCGAAGACGTTCAGATTGGTACCTTTCTTTATTACCTTTGGTTATTTTCGAAAAGGTAAGAAAATAGTCACGCACTGTGGCACTGTTTCGGACTTGATCAGAAATGGTCGATCGTTTTGTAATGAACAATTTATTGCATTTACAGGAAAATAACACAACAAAGTGAAAAACATGCCTTATCCTTAACATGTGAGCCGCGACATAACAAAACCAACATTATAACACGTAGAGAAACTAATAGCGAACAATATGGGTTCTGGTTAGACTGCGCGCATCGGCTGATCTGGATCCATGCTGGTCGCCAGCGCATTATGTTGGTTTTGTCATGGCGCAGCTCATATAAAATGATTTTCATTACTGTTTATTCTGTCAATTTAAGTTTCAAATAGATTGGTTAAAGTGATTGAGTACTCACTTGTTGATGGGCCGGTCTTTTTAACTGGATCAGGAGCACTTTTAGAATGTTCGTCCTGTAAATATAACAAAGTTATCATAGGAAAGTCAGGAAATATCATAATTGAGCCGCGCCATGACAAAACCAACATAATGGGTTTGCGACCAGCATGGATCCAGACCAGCCTGTGCATCCACACAGTCTGATCAGGATCCATGCTGTTCGCTTACCAACTCTATTACAAGTAGGGAAACTGATAGCTATCTATGCTGGTCGCAAACGCATTATGTTGGTTTTGTCATGACGCGGCTCATATATTTTACATTGGTCTTCCAAATGTATAGAAGAAAATCAATTCTGCGCAAAGTTCATGATAGATGTGAAATTCGCAAATAATTTGTTTCAAGTAACTTTACATACTTTGTTAGAATATTTAATAATTGAAGTACTACTGACTGTTAAACTGCAGTATTTAAGGGTACAATGAAAATGCTGAACTTGATTAATGTTAGCATGTTTGTCATGTAAAATGTATACCTTGGTTGTGTTCCTAATCTCAGATTCAAACGAGGCCAACGTTCGTCTGCGTTCTTTTCTATGTGTGAGTGCCTGGCGGATCTGAAATAAAGGTTATGCACAAAAACAAAAACAAAGTTTCAAAGCGGCACGCCTCCAGATAAATCGTACATAATATGGAAAATATTACTTTTATCTTAAATCTTTTTACTTAAAATCTCGATACTTTTTTCTTAAGTTTGATTTTCTTGAAATAGTTGGGTTCATCTGGAGGCATGCAGCTTTTAAGGTTTAAAACATACAACACACTTTATGGATACCACATTTTCATATGCTAGCTTAGATTCTAACACTTTCACAAATTGATTTTAGTTAACGGATTTGTCTTCCTGTATTTTGATTTTGTACAAAGCTATTTTACGAGTATAATTAAGGAGATGATATTTGTTTTAGAAAAATTCTAAAAACGAACGATTAGAAAAGATAAAATAAGGCTCACCTGTCTGTTGAAGACGCAGTGAAACAAGAATATAAATAAACCCTGAAATATAATAATTTGTATGTTAAATTCTAAGACTGCTGCAGGGAACAGAATCTGCCCACGTGACCAGTGCAGACGAAGATAAGCCGTAACATGTGTGTCGTCTGATCATCGTCTGCACTCTGCACTCTGCACTGGTCGCTAAATATATATATATTCAGTCAGTACATATTATGACAATTTCCCTTAAATGATAAATGGTTTTGAATATATTGAAGCATACAACCTGAAATAAATAACAATATTAAACATCTCTGTGTTGTTGTATATTTTAGACAATTTTTTGTCCCAAGTTGTGCGGAATCATTTTAAGTGTAATATATAATATACGGTAAACATTTTCCTATTCTATATATAAAAGTAACAATGCAATGCTTTATACATGTATTTACATTTTAAATAACTGAATAAGAAATAGAAAATGGGACATCTTTGCAGAATAGTGAAGTTTATGATATCGTTTTACTTGACTTTAACCATTGTGGGTTCGAATCTTGGCATTTTTAAGGGATGAAAGAAAGAGAAACGAATGGAAATGAACTTAACATGTAAACTTGCGTTTTTCGGATTATTACAAATGACTACTTTGAACACTGCACTATACATGAAATTTTAACTGAGCATGGCATACACTTCAATTTTACCTGCAAAGAATTGAAAATGCTGAAGAAATACTGCAGTATGAACATGTCGCTGTTCACAGACAACAAACCAAACAACCATGTTATCCCCAACATAGGAAGTAACACGCATAAACTGTGAAGCCAGGTTCTGTAAATGAAAAAATAAACAACTACAAAAAAATCAACAACATTTCAATTATATACGAGTGTACTGTATACGTAAAGTGGGTGATTTTTGTCCCATAGAATGGCATACTAGTATTGCAGTATACATTACGGACGATTTTTTGCAAAGCCTTGTGGAAATTCTTTCATACTGGAAGTCTGGGGTCTAGGGGTAACATGCTCGCTTTGGATGCGAGTAGTACGATGGAAGGGCTCTGGGATTCGAATCAAACTGAGGTCCAGGGGTAACATGCTCGCTTAGGATACGAGTAGAATTCAAGAGGTATTGGGTTCGAATTCCACTCTACGCAACTGATTTTCTTTATTTTGCAAGATAATAATAGGCGTAATTCGCTTTTATGTAAAAAAAATAATCTAATCTGCTTCAAGGTATATTTTTGTACTGTATCTGTTCATAAACCATTGATAATGAAAGTGATAAACAATGGCGAGGTTGGCATTTAATCTGTTGTTCTTTGACCATTGTCAATTTTATTATTTGAATCAGTGATTCTATTTTTAATACATAATATTTGTATGTATTTGTAAATATTGACTCACTTTAATTTTGTGGTTGATGTTTTGGACTTCACAAACGTTGCGGATGCCATTTTCTTGAAGACGATCACAATTATAATTACATTGACCTGTAGAAAAAAAAAACTAATTGAACTACTGATTAAAGTACATACTTTATATTAAGTAGATAGGCATCTATAGAAGATTCTGTGATGACTCAAGTGGGTAATACACATTCTAAAATTTTTTTAAGTTTAAACATAAACACGTACTGTAAAGTGCTGCAAAATATCGCCCATACTTCATCTCAATATTATTGATTTTTGTTCTTTCTGGATAACTGAATCTAATTTTTTTTAGGTGTTGAATATTTCATACAGCTTAAACCGATGAAAGGAGGCATGTTTGAAGTATAAACAACCAATATACTCTCAAACTCAATCAAACCGGGCCGGCACCTAACAATTCATTACTCTTAAGTGCTCTCCCCTATACCAGATATTTCCCTGTTTTTCAAAGTGTTAAAATCACAATAGTAAAATTGAACTTATTATAGGAAAGTGTAACAATTTGACTGTAACGTTACTTACCAAGATAACAGCTGCGGCAGGTCCTATAAATGACCAAATAAGTCCGGAATCTATGTCCAGCCAACAACTGAAATTTATGAATATCATTTAAAGGCACATTATGCCTCAGAAATCTATATGATTTCAATCCTTTAGGCATGTCGTACGTGTATAATAATGTAATAATGTCTAATTATAGATTTAGAGCATGTTTGAAAAAAGTAGCCCGGCCTGAACACGCAGTTATGTGTTGTAAAGGTGGCAAAATGTAAACAAAGTCCTAACAAAATACCAATTCACTTTAACTGCCAGATGAACTAGAGATGAAAATAGGTATGAATTATCGTAACAAATGGGTACATTTTTGGAAACTGTAAAAAGCTTCCGAAAATAAAATAGTTTTTGAAAAATAAAAATAATAGCAATTCTGAGACATAAATGACCTTTGCATTGGATACTCTTAATAAGGGTCCGTTTTGATACATATAACATTCTTAGTGTATATGGTCACGTGTTCAAGAAATACGCAGAAAAATGACCAATCACAAAGTGTTTTACATTGACAAGAATCGAGGTTATATTTACAGCTAAGAACAGTCTATTTGCATTTTATATGCACAGACGGGCGTATAATAACAATTTTACGGAGTCGTAAAATGTTGTACGAGTAAAGTACATCACATTACCATTCTCAATAGATGCAATATAACTTGAAGCAGCATAGCAAAACATCCAGACAATTGAAAAATAATACAGCTTTATTGCCAAAAGCTTTGTATTACTTGTGAACAAATGATAAAAAAATCTTTATTACTTGGACTTACAATTTTTTATTTCCGTAGCCTTCTGTTTTAGTGACGCCCAATGAAACTCCGACAATAACAAGAGGTGCAACTGAAAATTAAAACAGCTTGAAACTGTACAAAAGTACCTACTTAATCCACCCTGTAAAAAGTTCATTCCTACATTAAAATACCAAAAATATCAATAGAAAAAACTCACACTAATAAATTAAGAAAAATAAGCCGCTGTTGTAAACGAATTGCATGCGAAATATAAATATACATGCATGATTCAAAGAAGTAAATGCGACTAGAATATCTACTGCATAAGATTGTCGACGAAAAATCAAAATTTGCAAAGGGAAAAAAAGGAAAGCAGAAAATAACGTGTGATTTGTTTGTTTATTTGTTTCATTTTACGCCTTTTCCCAACAGTATTCCAATCATATAGGCGGGTAGTTTCCTAACCATCGTTCCTGGAGAGTTACACCAGTACTAGACTACCTTCCTCCGCGCTAAACTACCAAAGCATCTCCCGGGGATCGAACCCACGCCAGAGAGGTAACTGGTCGACTCTAACCCCTCGACCACGTAGGCGGTTATATCGTGTGATTTAAACAACAGGAAAACTCAACATGCATCATCAATAATAAGAAAAAATGTATGCGTATATATATATATAGGGAAAATATAACATCTTACGCCAAGCCAAGGGAAGTAACCGTGATAATCGAAACCTACTTCCAAAAACTTGCACAACACTCAACAATATTTCAACACCAATAAACAACATTAAAAAGAAAACAGCTAAGAACAAGAACTGGATAAGCGCAGCAATGATGATACACGCCACCTGAAAAAAAAATCAATAAAATTTATATCAAATACATTTTTTGTCAAGCTGTGATCATCATCATCATCATCTTCATCATCATTATTATTATTACATTTGTATTATTATTATTATTATCATCATCATCATCATCACTTTTATTATTATTATCATTATTATCATCACATTTTGCATACTAACACTTAAAACATATGCTGGTTTTAATTCTTAATTCTAAACCATTTTAATTCTTAAATGTCGAGTTCTGTTATAAACTGGCGCATGCAGGCATTGGAGGTAGTTTGTATAAACTGGCGCATGCAGGCATTGGAGGTAGTTTGTATAAACTGGCGCATGCAGGCATTGGAGGTAGTTTGTATAAACTGGCGCATGCAGGCATTGGAGGTAGTTTGTATAAACTGGCGCATGCAGGCATTGGAGGTAGTTTGTATAAACTGGCGCATGCAGGCATTGGAGGTAGTTTGTATAAACTGGCGCATGCAGGCATTGGAGGTAGTCTGTATAAACTGGCGCATGCAGGCATTGGAGGTAGTCTGTATAAACTGGCGCATGCAGGCATTGGAGGTAGTCTGTATAAACTGGCGCATGCAGGCATTGGAGGTAGTCTGTATAAACTGGCGCATGCAGGCATTGGAGGTAGTCTGTATAAACTGGCGCATGCAGGCATTGGAGGTAGTCTGTATAAACTGGCGCATGCAGGCATTGGAGGTAGTCTGTATAAACTGGCGCATGCAGGCATTGGAGGTAGTCTGTATAAACTGGCGCATGCAGGCATTGGAGGTAGTCTGTATAAACTGGCGCATGCAGGCATTGGAGGTAGTCTGTATAAACTGGCGCATGCAGGCATTGGAGGTAGTCTGTATAAAACTGGCGCATGCAGGCATTGGAGGTAGTCTGTATAAACTGGCGCATGCAGGCATTGGAGGTAGTCTGTATAAACTGGCGCATGCAGGCATTGGAGGTAGTCTGTATAAACTGGCGCATGCAGGCATTGGAGGTAGTCTGTATAAACTGGCGCATGCAGGCATTGGAGGTAGTCTGTATAAACTGGCGCATGCAGGCATTGGAGGTAGTTTGTATAAACTGGCGCATGCAGGCATTGGAGGTAGTCTGTATAAACTGGCGCATGCAGGCATTGGAGGTAGTCTGTATAAACTGGCGCATGCAGGCATTGGAGGTAGTCTGTATAAACTGGCGCATGCAGGCATTGGAGGTAGTCTGTATAAACTGGCGCATGCAGGCATTGGAGGTAGTTTGTATAAACTGGCGCATGCAGGCATTGGAGGTAGTTTGCATTTTCCAGCTAAATCAACTCGAGTCTGAAATTTTTGTAAATTCTTTTCCGCATTGGCCGACCTTGAAAGTGTTTGACTGTTATTCAGTAGATAATAACTCCCAATGTTAATACGCATATTAAATAAAACACAGACAAGTACATTTATCGAATAATAAACCGAAATATAAAAATCCTTCATATTAGGAAAATACCGATTTCTCGTGATTCACTGGGAAGAATAATATATCATCAGTACAATTTAAAACAAACGATTGTCTTAGCTTTTGACAATTCTTTTAACTAGAAAGAGTACAAAGTGCATGTAACAGTAAAATAAATGACATTTTTTATTACATATATGAGCCTCAACTAATTCTCGACATTGCAGCAGGACTGCGTTGAAATGATGCTCACAGTAAATGTTATAACAATACTAATGCCGTCATTAAAACAAACTTAAAATTACTCTTAATGGAAGATGTACACAAAGTTAGTGAACATGCGCATGGCAGATTTAGAAATTTTATACTTTTTTTTTTTGGAAAAATCTGTCAAAAACTATGTGAAAATAAAACAAACTCGCGACTTTTTAAAACGATTTAGAAATATATTATCAAGTTTGTATTGCTAGACCCATTATTTTTGTACATCTGTAAATTGCATTGCATCGTAATAATTTTACATCATATCATTTGATTATATAGCATTGGGCGAAATAATGTGCATTGCATTAAATTTTATTGTAAAGCACTTTAATCTATTATGGTGTGGTGATAGTAATGTTTAACGCGGTAGGAATGTCGACTGAAAAAGCAACATTAACTTAATGACCTGAAGAAATTTATTACTTTAAGTCTGTGCCAACATAAGATAAATGTATAAAATCAATTTAAGTAATTTGCTAGTCTGTGTTTTGACAGAAATAAGTCTGCAAATTTTCACGGTTGTCAGGAAAATTATAGACATATCTTGGCTGAATGCTTTGGATCTGGAAGACAAAAGCCTGCATCAAAATCGGGAAAATGGAGCTATAAAAGTAACAAGACAAAAAAGAAAAAATTGTAAGCGCGGGGCTGAATAGTCTCTTTAAAAACTGTATATTTCTTTAAACAAATTGCTGGTTCGCAAAGAAGCTCAATTTCACAGAATGTACCTTTCAGAATTGATTTGTAGGTTAACCAGAATCCCTGGATTAATTGTTTTGATGAGCTTTTTATGTTTTCAGGAATATATTTTCAAACGGACTTGATCAAAAATCTTTACACATATATTTGTATTCATTGCCCTTTGGACATCAATTTATTTTTCAGATTATATTTTTGAAGCTTTTTTATAAGGATAAAGCTCTTCAACAAAAAAACCCTGAAAAGTGCGATACCTCGGAAGCATAAATCAAAACAAAATTTCATGAAAATTGCAGACTCGGTTTGAGTGAGTCTGTACATGAGGGATACTGAAAATGAGTAACATCCCTCCTGGCCCTAGCACCGGCTTGAGCAGTACTCAATTTTCAGTACTTACAAGTGTTGGAATCAGAGAAGGACCAGAAAAATATTACAACAATGAAAAGTCACTTTACCCGGCTCTCAGTTCTGTTCACGCCTGCCAGGAACACACCGAATGCGAGCAGCAGTGCCACACATAAATGCATCAAAGTTATAGTCCTATTACTGCGTACAACACTAAAATAACAGATAAAATAAAATAGTCGTTATACTTTGAAAACACTTGACATAGCAATAATCACAAAACAATGAAATAAGGGATAAAATCGCAAAAGAATAATAGCTTGCAATGAACGTAGTTTATAAGCCTATGATCTCATTATGCAGGGCATATATGAGCCGCGTCACGACAAAACCAACGTTATGCGTTTGCGACCAACATGGGTCCAGATCATTCTGCGGATCCGCGCAGTCTGATCAGGATCCATGCTGTTCGCTATCAGTTTCTCTACTTGTAATAGGGTTTGTAAGCGAACAGCATGGATCCTGATCAGACTGCGCGGATGCGCAGGCTGGTCTGGATCCATGCTGGTCGCAAACGCACTATGTTGGTTTTGTCGTGACGCGGCTCATATGTACTTTTATAGCTGCATAAATGATGAACCGTCTGGCGAAAAACATTAGTGATAATATCTAAAGAGAGGAGAAATGAAAGATCTACTGTTGTAAAATATGAACATGGGTTCATACTTACGCTTACAATTGATTGAATGGATATTTAAGGGAACCGTTTTGTATTAATCGCATTATGACACAAATATATATGATAGTTGCTATAATACACCTTTACAAAATAATTTAAAATGAAAATAAATATTTAAAAAAACCCGCAAAAACTACCTCCAAACAATTCGATGAGCAATGATTGTCAGCACCAGACATATCATCGATATTGTACAGCCTACGGCAGATATTATACCAAGTATCAAAGAGTGATGGGCAGACTGAAAGAGAAAACAAAACACCAATTGGTCGTCAATTAAACAACAACAAGGACATTTCTCTTTTATTATTGTAATTTGATACTGTCTAATATGTTATCACTGGTCTGTATCTCTATTTTATGCAAAACAGGAACATGATATGAGCCGCGTCACGACAAAACCAACATAGTGCGTTTGCGACCAGCATGGATCCAGACCAGCCTGCGCATCCGCGCGATCTGATCAGGATCCATGCTGTTCGCTTACAAACCCTATAACAAGTAGAGAAACTGATAGCGAACAGCATGGATCCTGATCAGACTGCGCGGATGCGCATGCTGGTCTGGATCCATGCTGGTCGCAAACGCACTATGTTGGTTTTGTCGTGACGCAGCTCATATTATGAAGTGGTAGATGCCGTCAGTGTTTCCGGTAGTAATTACATGTTTCAAGAGTTCAAGACTCTATATACTGTATACAATGACAATATTGCTTTGAGAGAGTTTTGTGTTGTTCTTAAAATTACATATATTGTTCATTCTCTAAAGAGCTTGCAAGGAATATGACAAATGGATTATCCTCACCAGCAATTTAATTTTGAAACTTTATACATTTAGTTTGTGTGACATATGAAACGATCTGAATTTTATCATATGCCATTTATTTTCAGTACTTATGTTGTTGGTTTTTTAATGACAAACGGTTAAACATATTTTGTTATATAATTATGTATCTTGTATAACGATTTTATTAACCATTTTATAATGACTTACGATTAAAATAACAATTCTTCATAATATGAAGTATTGATTTTTATCAATTAATGCACTGAAACTAGTTACTTTTTGTATTTATATTCAACTACATGTACCTTCTTAAGATAGAGAGAGAAAAAAGAGAATCCCTTAAAAACGCCAATACGTTAAAATTGCTGCAGGCTGAATATGATTAAGTCCTTTATTGAAAAACCAAAATCAACCAGCAAGTGCAGCGTTCGAAGAACACACACCCACAGGACCCAGCAACACATAACCACCGACAAGCAGGTAATACTTTATGGGAATTAATACGTTCATTTATGGCTTCATCTAAGTTACTGCTTTTTGATGAATATACACATATAGTAACTTACAATTTTGGATGGACTCATCAAGATGGCGAAATTTGTAAGATGACTGCAAGCACATTTTGCCGTCACATTTGTTATTTCTTCTAAAACACATCCCTTTGATGACCATGCACCTCTCTTGCTTTGCCCAGTTCTAATGATTTAATCATGAGAGAAAATTTAGCATACAGATACTTATCAATATTGTAATGGATTTACAAAAAGTAAAATACTTAAAATGCCATTTCATTAAGCAATCTTCATTTTCAAATGCTTATCAGTTACACTGAATATTCTTCCCCGTAGACTTAAGTAAAACGTTCAATGTAATTATAGCAGTATTTATTTACTTACGTTATGTTGTAATCCCAAAATACGCAGATTGGATCAGTATAAGTACCCTGAAAAAGACATATAACTGATTTTACATATCGGTTTAGAGTTTGGCATAACATGTTTTATCTACAGTACTTGTTAGCAGTGTCCTTTTGCAGATAGTTGCCAGTGTTCAGGGGCGTGGGCGGTAGCTTGCGTTTATTACTGCTGTCCACGAAGAGACTCAGTCAAACTAAATTTGCCATTTTAGGTATTCTAAAGGGACTCTGTTCTTTCTATTTTAGAACACATGTTAACACTGTTTTTAAAATATTCCTGCTACTTTCGTTACAATAAAACCAAATAAATAGCTGTTTTAATCTGCTTTAGACTTCTCATGTGACATCTCGCGGACGAAATAATGCATCGAGAAGCGCCTGATGTCTTTTTCCGACAGTAAAAGTACAAAAGAGGTGTTATATGCTATTTACAGTGCCAGAGTGAATTTAGAACATTATCTCTATTACAAGTATACAACAACTTTCTTAGATTTTTAAAACCCTTATTATTTTAACACCCCCCCCCCCCAAAAAAAAAAAAAAAAAAAAAAAAAAAAACAACATACAACATAAAACAACAACAATACAAAACACACCCAATACAAATTTCTGATTTACACAAAACACAATTAATACTCTTTCATATATAGCTGCTTATTTCATGAATACGATTAGACTACTATAAACACACAATCGTACATATTAAGATACTTACATTTATAAGTGTGAATGTAATACGAACAGGTGGGTCCAAATTATCTAGCGAGACACCTGGGTCTGTTAGTAGTTGAAGAGATATGATGTCAGAATTTACTTCCCCCGTGGGTAATGCACTCCCTTGTCTCATAATTAAACATAAAGATATTAAAAACATTTAGATATCATTATCAAAATAGCAATACAGTAACAATATGTATATCACAAATGATATAAACATTTGCTCCTTTGATAAAAATATAAATATTTATTACTTGTAAATCCGAATTTTCATTAGTTTTATCTATGTTTAGACAATTTCTAACATAAAGCTGTTCTTTGCAAAATGAAAACTCTTTCTTTTAAGTGTCATATGATTGATAAACAATATGTTCATTCAATAATATTCACACAAAAAGTTGACATAACTAGTCAAATGACATAGTAAATGAAGTAAAAAATAAGGTAAAAATAAGGTACACATTTTTTTTTCATGAAAAGAAAACAAACCATCACTGTTTATGTTAATGATGTTAATGTGAAAAAAGAGAACAATACAAACAAGCTAATGGCATTAATAAAAGGAGAGTAATTTCCTCTGTGATCTCGAGACTTATAAAATGCCATCATCAACACCAATATGTAGATTTACATACAACTTTGCTCTTGTTTGTTTACTTATCATTTCTTACTTGTCTAGAACACGATATTTCAATAAGTCATAAAACGTTTGCAGGGATAGATAAATATTTGTATTTTCACCAGCATGTGTTTTCATACCCTTCAAGTGTCACTTGATTCTCCATAACATTACCAAGGGAATTGTAGTAGGCGCCTCCGAAACACACGTTTGTTATACCTTAAACGACAGACTGACACTCAAGCCAATAGCTTCTTAACAAATACAGAACAGTGAAGAGAATAGACTCGTACGTTACTTTTAGTGATCAAAATATTATTGTTATATATTTCCAAAGATAACTACAAACACAGAAATGTTAATTCAAAAACAACAAAAAGAAGTAATAAATATACTAGTCGCATTCGGCTAGCTTGTCATTCATCGCATAAAGAAATCAACTTATTTACTTCCAATATCACTAAATAAACGTATTCAAATTATGTTTACAGCTATAATAAAAGCTTGCTGTATTATTTTACATAATTATTTTAACATGTTTTTATGGTTACAACACATCTATAACCACATTTCTGAAACCTCATTTCGACCTCGCTTTTAACACATTGTAGCTTTCTTCTTACTAAATTCATTTATAATTCAGTTATATTTACACCTGTACCATCAATTACATAGTTGTTTTTTTAATATCATCACTATTAGAAACCCTGAAATATATGCATATCATGAACAAGAAATGGAATCCAAGACGCCACAAATTGAATGTGCTCCAGACTCGGCTTCATTGAGCGTATTCATGGGCGGTTGTGGCAATTGCAATCTGTATTTTAGCCTGATTCCGATTTAGCAATGATTTTCGTCTTATAATTTTTCAAAAAATAAATAAACATTGCATAATTATCCATCATGATATCAAATAATATGTTTGTTAAGAAATAAAAGTGCCTTCACTACCTAAATTTGTGAGAGTGTTTTCCATTATATCAATGTTTGTTTCGCTCCGCTTGATGTTAGGAAATAAAACTTCTCCAGATATTCTACCAATTTCTGTATCTTTACAAAATGAAAAGCAAATGTGAATTATGAATTGAATCTGAAACCTTAAACAACTGAATGTTTGAAATGAGCTAATCCAGCTTCTATTTTGTTAACTTTCCCTTATCAATTCTAGGTAATTCAAGATGAAAATTAAAAGTTGATTAGCCAAAAGTATAAAGCGTGGTTAGATTGCTTGTCCGGCAAATGCTTATCACTTTCGGTTGCGACAGGGTAATGGTTAATGATCATAAAAGAATATTTTTTAAATCTTATTTTGATATTTTCCTGAAGATTTTATACGAAAGCCCTTTCGAAACTATGATGAACTATTTTTTTTTTTCACTATCTTTCATTTGTTTAAGAAAATTATTATATTTTTTATTTACTACAGATTACTATTAAGAAGATTGTAGTATACAAAAGTTATGGTATTCAAGCTCTCTAAAAACTTTATTAAAAATTTTCATGATATAAAATTTTAAGTATTTCAACTTCTGTTGCTAAAACTGATACAAACTCGTTGCATTTTTTCTCTTCGAGTAGATATTTTATGTAGATAGTATATATAACAATACTATCAATGATTTTTTAAGTACAAGAATATCTTTTTCAGAACATAATTCATAAAAATATGAATACGAAATTCTCGTAAAATTTATTCTTACAAATATGATTGTTTTCTATTTCATTGACATCCCCGGTGTTTAGATTATTACACTTGGTTTCTTGTTGTAAAAGCATGTACTTGTCCACTACATCTAGAACAACACTTCCGTCAACATCAGCCTGCATTTATATAAACGTCTTACAGAAAAAAACAAAAACGTATTACAGATATTGTGATCATTTTCTACGACTAAAATTCATTTAAATGAAAACTTGAAATTATTATAAATTATGTGAGTACAGTAAAATATATACCTTGAATAAAATTATGTACAGCAAAGAAATTTTGATACTATTATATATAATCATCCTTTTTGCGGGTGAAATACTTAATGATGTGAACTCGGGAATGGAATAAAAATACGTAATATCACCCTAAGAGGGCTCTTAAACACATTTTACTTTACCTAATATAATCTTGCGATTAAAATTAAAGGAAAAATGAAAAAATGTGGCTTTTCTTCCAGTACAATTTTAACTACTTAGTAACAATTTTGCATCGCATGCAATGGTCATTTTCCAACGTCAATCCTTTGTAGACCTGAGATTTCCCTAAACGCAGAAAATGTTTTTGAAACACGTCTGCCGGTTAAGGCTACGCCAAAATATAATATAACAAGGTGATATTACGAATTATTACATTATGCAGATATGGCAAATGTAACAAAGTATGAAAGCAAATATAAAAGGAGGACAATTACGTTGGCCGAACGCAGACAACAACATGACGCATCCATACAAGACTGCCGGCAAATCAACCAACAGGTCAACCATCTATTACAGGACACTAGAGCAGGTATCAATAACTTTTCATTAATTATGTGAAGTATAATAACCAAAATTGTAAAGTACATTTGAAATGAGTGAATATTACCTGCTTAAAAGCTTCTTCGTTTTCAGGTTTCAGGACGTTACTGATTGTCTCATAAAAATACTGGAACAAACAACAATAAGGAGTACACATATAATAATTAATAATATGTATGAAAAACAGAAAAAAATGCCAACAGGCGATTTATTGAATGTAATACAATTAGACTTCTTTTTCACTTTTATCATGATCCGTCAATTGTTGATAGTCTAAATAGTTTAAAAGTTCTTGACAATTTATGTACATAAACTCGACAATTTTTATAAACATTTCAATTATAAAAAACTTTTGCCAAATAATAACTAGATTTTTCCAACCAGCAGTTATATTCAAGGTATTTGAATATTGGAAACGTGTATATGTTCATACGTCTGTAAAGGATATATTAATGAAAGTTTTGCTATGGAATATCTTTTATTCTTTTGGTATGCTATCCTTATAATTTTATTTTATCTGAATATATTTGCTTTATATAAACATTAATTACCTCCGTACTATTGTCAGTAATATTCATATAATCAGCAATGTTCAAGACTCCCTTTAATATATCTGTGACGTTTGTTATGATTCCAGAGTCTATTTGGTTGTCTGTAATTTTAGACAGTGATTCTAAAATATTCTCTATTTCCCCAGAGGCATTTCCAGACGCGTTTGATACAGAGTTCAACTGAAATGAGATAAAAAATACTTTCATGTCAAAGTGTCTGTTATAATAGTTTTTAAGATGAGCACAAAATATTTGACATATTTGTCACTTTAGGGAAATAGCAGAACTGTTTTGTCCTGTAGAGTGACAGGAATAATCGTTCATCATAAATGGTATTGTATTAAGGATTGTTTAGGATATGCGTACATTTGGTGATCAAAATGTACACATTACATCAAATGGTTTCTTATACTAATGATTAGATGGCAGGTGTAGGCCCTCAGGAAAATTCTAACTCATCAACGTTTGAAGAGATGCAACAGAGGAGTTACTTAATATGCAACTGAAGAATTACTCATCAGTATTTTATCATACATTTAAAATTAATCGAAAATAAATTAAGGATATGTCTGATTAATAAAGCATTTTTTTCTGAGGGATGGACAAATAGAATAAAAACATTGACCTGACCTGTAGCTGCAGATTTGTCAGTACGGTGTCCTTTACTTTACAGTAACTAGTAACCGGTCCCCAACTACCATTTTCATCGCAAACTCGCGTATAGTTTCCTGCAGAAATATGAAAGTTTTTTTTTCTATACATACACAAGTATTTTTCATTTTTAAGGAAACAAAAAGAAATTAATTGTTATTTCAATCACTTCAACGCAGATTTTCTATCAATTTGAAAAGTTCTTATTTTTGGTAAATCTTTAGTTTCCAAATCACAAGTATCTTAAATGAGACAGAAACAATAGTAAAGGAAACTGACCTAACTATATTGTTTAGAGAATCCGACTTACCACCGTACGAATCCTCGCATGGAACTGTAACCGAATTATTAATCTCCGATACTGGCCAACTACCATATCTGTCTTGCAACTTACTACATCCTTAAATATAGCATTATTCGATTCATGAATAGTTTATTAATTCTAAATGTCTTTTAAAATTCTTATTAGACTTATTGAAACATATTCAAAAGGTAACATTATTATTGCTTGCATGAAGAATTCAAATCTTGCCAAATACACTTGGAATACATTGAATGTTTCCTTAATAAAAGTCTACATACCCGTTATGATATTGACAGTAACGTCAACAGTTGAAGACAAAGCAGGAGTTCCACCGTCTGCGGCTATTACAGTAACCGGTAGCTTGGTGAGGAAGTTTGATTCAGAAGTGTACCCGTTGCTAGACTGACTTCGCCGGTGTCTTTATTTACAATAAATTCTGTTGTTCCTATAAATAACATTTACATGTATTTTCATATTTTTATGGCATTTAAGTTATTAAATAGTTGAAGTTGTATTCGTATCAAGTCATTGTGCATTTTTGCATACAAAAATATACAGATAATAACTTATGATCGACTTGGGGTCATTCTTAGTCTCTCACAAGTTCAAAATTTTCTTGGCGATGAGCGGGGCTCATCCCCCTTCTAGCAACCCCTGAGGTATCTTTTGGATAGGGGGGCGCCGCCAAAAAAGTGGTCAGTTAAAAATTATGCTAACAACATTTCTCAAAACAAAACAAGTGATATGGGCCCTAAATAAGGCATATTTTCAACCGTTTGAGATGACAAAAAAAAGGGGGGGGTGAAAATGGCGTTAAAAGGCGTGTATATCGAGTAATGGGTTAAATACATACCTAATAGAATAACTTGATTTTCCTGTACTCAAGAGTGCGGTCTATGTCTGTCGCAGAGACCGTAAAAATGGTGACACCTGAAAAATAAATATGCTTTTTAACTAAATGAATTAAAAAGCAAAAATGAGTAAACGAATTGTTTATGCCCTCGAATTCCTACAATTCCGGAGTCGTGTTTTACAAATAAAAATTGTGTCTACATTTCACAACACATTTATTCGTTTAGTCAATTAATAGCTAATATTTTACAACCATTTTTTTCAAGATTTAAAAATATGTCCTATTCAGACTTTTTGTTATCTCGCAGAATGTTTGATATAAATCCTTTATCCGTGACATTTTTAACGTGGTTTGAAATCAAAAGCAATGGAAATAACGATATATATACAGAAAGAGATATTGACGGTGTGAGACTCTCACTGGAAAATCACGGAAAAAAAACAAACGAACAAAGTAATAAAACAATAAAGATGTACATTCTTATAAGTTATACGATATGTCTCTGTATTTTATTCAAGGATCAGACAAGAACCTTGTGTTTGCTTCTTAATGTATTTCTTCAAGGATCATGCAGATATCTTGGTAAAACATGATGGAAAGCTTTGAATATCTACATGATATTATGAATACCTAGTTTTCAAGAACAAAACATTTTTTTAATAAAGGAAAATATCAAAAAATTTCAAAATACCAATGAAATACCTGTTTCTATGGTTTCTGGTATATTGTATTCGCGAATGATGTCTGATGGGAATGTAGGAGGCTCGTTTATGTCAGTAATGGTAATGGTAACAATCACCGTGTCTTGTACAGAAATTGGTCTTCCGTCTTTCACCCTATTGTATGTAAATTTGACACAAAAATAAACAAAGGAATATACCGTTATTAGTTATTTATGACTTTTAAACAAACACAATGGAAATGCATGTTAACATTTTTGTAAGAAACTATGTTTTATAACTATCTTTAATAGAATGGTAAATAATTTGAAATACATGTAGAGGAATCTCGACACTGCAATAGAAACAAAAAATCGACGAATAATGCAAATTGATTAATATATCAGAGAAAACTTACAATGCATTTCCCCTCCCTAACTCCGGGTTTAGCAATATACACTTTCAAAAAAACTAACCTACCCTAATTCTAGTTCATAAGACAGAATTGCATCTTCAGCATCTACGTCAAATGTGTCAATGGTGTTTGACCTTCCAGCAATCAAGTCATCTATTCTTATAATCTCAAATACAGGTTTATCAGTGCTGGGAGTCTAATTAAATAGAACAGTAAAATATGAGTTTAAATTGTAACAAAATAATCCGTACAGATAAGTCAGGATCTGAAATAAAACAAATACAGATAACTTTTTGAATTGCTCAGCAAATGAATGCATTGAGTCTACTAATACTGTATTAATCAATGTCTTGCAGAAAAGAAATATTTGTAAACTTGTAAAATGCCTTTATAAGAACATGTACTATAATGTTCTAATAATGGATGCAGGCTACGACTAGAACTTTTTCCGAAATGATACTGATACAAACATTATAATAAATGACAAGTCATTTGATAAATTCTTTTTTACTTGTCTTAAGATATCGAAGTCCAACTCATCACCGTCTTCATCAGTTGCTGTAAGAATTTTTATGACATTTCTAGCTTCTGTGTTCTCTGGTATCGACATCGATGTACTTCCAGACTTACTGATTGAGGGATCAACAAATCTAGGGGCTAAATAATAAACGTCAGTTAGAATTACAGGTAATTTAACAATCAATGCAGTCAATAGACAATTTATTGCATCAATGAGGAGTTGAACTATTTAAACAGTTAATATGCAAACGAAGAAAAAAATGACGAGGAATAGGAATCTGAAATAGCAATATTATATGTGAATTAAGAAAAGAAAAAAGAAATATATAGTTGAAAAAAGGGAAACAAAAAACTCATTATATGAAAAAAAACTTAGTAGATAAACGAAGTAAATATTGAAGACTAATTCGACAAGTATAAAAATGCTGAGATGATTATTTTCAGAGAAAAAAGTAAAGAAAAATAAGTATTTCTTATACATATAAGTCACTTCTATAAATATAAGTTTAAAAACAATAATCATTATTTACAATAACAAACACAACAAAATATCTTGCGAAAATGCTCTTTGACACTTATTTAAAACTCAAATGACTTACATGTTTTGAGAAAGATCAGTAGAGGTGTTTCGGCACTAGAAAACCCATCGGTTGTAGTAACAATTAAGGTATATAGCGTCCTCTTGGTATAATCTAATTGCACACCTGCAGCAACTAACACTCTTCCATTGCTTTCATTTAATTCAAAATCACTGGATGATTCCCCTATATATCATAAAGAATGGAAATTTTAAATGTACTCGTACTGATTCATTTTTAATTAGTCAATAATTATCAGTCATTATGAGACAAAAATATAACTCTAAAGAGTATGCATTTTTTTTCAGAAGATGTTAGTTTCTGAACAATTATATGATATCATATCATACATTTCTCAGTGAGAAATAATTTATACGAAAAGTGAGAAAATTCCCATAGACAAACTAAACAAAATTTCGTTACATATTTTTTTATCAATACCTAAACGATATCTAAAATATAAACAGGTAATATTTATCCCTTAACTATGTTTAGATTACATTAACAATCACGAAAAAATGTATAATTATTTCAAACAGGTTTTGATGACTTACCTATCATAGTAAATGAGACCTTACTTGGGTCACTAAAGTCATCAGCGGTTATTCTAGCAATTTGAGTACCTGAAATTTTATTCACATATTCTTTACATATGCGTACATGCATAAACAAATCAGCAATAATAATGTAAGGATTGTTGGCCGCTTGGATTCAAGCCGTTTGTCCTCTTTGAGCAAGAAACTTGTCACTCATTGTTTAGTACTGGTTTGTTACATGTGTGTACATATTTAGGCCTGTAGTCCTCCAACACAATCTAACTAAAATAAAATCGTATAAACAGCAACAAACAAAATAATACAAAATATAGACAAGCAGACAATTCAGAGCACAACAGAAATATCGACCCTTCCCCACAAACATAATTATAATACAAAATGAAAAAATAAATACAAATTAACAGCAACGAAACACGTAGACCCATAATTTTTTGTTTAAGTTTTTGCATTTGCATGTAATATCTTTCAAAGAACTGACTTGCACGTTATATTTACTTTTTTAGTCTATAGGACTTTAGGTGTATCTTCATGTCTTTATTTTTATAAAATATAGACATAAGATTAAGTTGCAGACTACTATCAGGATATTGTAGTTGGCGTCTGTTATTTGAAACTTTGCATGGCAAGCGCAAACATGTATGATTAAACATTGTTAGATATTATATTATATATTAAACATAATATTCCATGAATCATCTTATGTTTGCTGAAAAAATCCATGTTTTGATCTCAAAACATTGTATATATTACAATTAATACTTGTTATAAGCATTTTACTATGCTTTATACAAATAAACTTTTTGTATTCGTATAAAAACGTACAACTAACCAACCAACCAACCAACCAACCAATAAAAAAATCAAAAAATAAAAACAAAAACAAACAAAAATAACGGCAAACAAACAAACAAACGAAAACAACTCAAGATCTTCAACAACAAAAGTCTCAGGACTGTTGGACCATTTCCCCATGCATCTTCTTACATGGTTATGTTGTATTATTATTATAATTTGGATTATTTTTTCTTTGAAAACACGTAAAATTAAAATTTCTAGCTAGTACTTATTTTCATAAATTACACAAATTATCATGTAAAAGAAAATAATACCTGCCGGCGTGTCTTCAGATATGTATCTCTGCACAGCTGGATTGACTCGAATTATCGAGGTCACGGTCACTGTAAGAACTGCACTGAGTACATCATTCGTCCCGTCACTTGCCCTATAAATTGTAAGACATTTTGTATCGGGAATCAAAGTATACTTACTGTCCATTAGTCAAATCAATATATTGAACTACCTTTAAAATTTTTTAAGAAGAAAAAATAAATAAATAAAAAAAAGCAACAACAAAAATCACAAATTCACAAATGTCATACTTTCAATGAATGGGCTAAATCATACCGAGCCTTTGACATTTTAAATTTTTCCGTTAGCGATACTCCATTTTTCTTACAAATATGCATTACATGGATATATTTCAGAAACTGGTTTATAATGAAATTAATAGAAAATACTTGCTCCACGTATTCGTTTAATCACTTACTTAAATGTTATATCATATGCTTGCTGAGTGGTCCCGTCGAATGTTGCATCTAATCTTGGTTTAAGAATATATCCATCTAATCTGAACTTTTCTTCTGAAGTCTGAGAAGCAATGACCACAGTAAGAGCGCCGGTATTGTCTTTATCAGTCACAGTTAGTTCAAATATAGTTGTTTCAGAGGTAGCATTTTCATACACTGAGACGCTTGCATCTTCTACTAGATTCACAAACACTGGCGCTATCAATATATATAGAAATCGGTTTTTAAAACTATGATTTCATAATTGTAAACGTGCATCCATAAAAAAGACGCCCCAAAGCTTTCGCCGATTATAAATTATTTAAACTACTAGTTCAAAAATACGCCTTTTTCAGTTGTTACAAAGTCTAACCAGTTTCCTATCTGTTGCTTATTAATCTTTTATTACTGAAATCAATTCCAATAATTAACGGAGTTTAAAAAGTTAGAGCATGACAACCTGATTACAATAAATTATACGATCTAGTTCATGACAATAAATGCATATGTGAAAATAACAAAAATGGTTAAATTTTTATTATTTTGAGTTGAGTTTTGTTTGTTTTGTTTTGTTTGAAATAAAAGATAATGAAATTTTGTCAGATGTATATTTGACATAAATGTAAGGGAACATTTCAAAATATTTACACAGATGGATAAATGTATCGATTGGACAAACCTGTGATAATATTGACTTCAATTTGGCTTTGTACACTTAATGCCGTGTTACCTGGCCCATTGTCTGTCGCCTTAACAGACAACGAATATTTCTTCGTAGTATCATAATCTAACGTTACTCCTGAAGCTACTGATATCACACCTGTTGTTTCGTCTATCGAGAAATCAGTAGAACCTACAGAGTATTTGTGTCAGAACATAATACCATACCAAGAAAAATCTTCTATAAGAAGAGCCTTACAAATGCATAAAAGGACTAAATTGTAAATGTTGTAAGCTAATTCATTCTTATTCATGGACTATAGTTGTTAATGTAAGAATATGGTCAACACCTCCCTTAGATAGATAAACATCGTTTCAATCAAGCATGCACCAATATGTTTTGATTTTTTTGGTGACATACATTATATTAATACTTATTTCTGCGCTGGTGAGATATTTCGAGATTGACGTTTATTTGATCGCCTTTTCATTTTTGATTGAACAATATTCCACACTATCCAATTTTAAATTTTGCATTTAATTAGCATAAAGCAAAGAAGCGTTGCCATTATTAATTGTTAGGTTTATCTTATTACAACATATTCTTTTTAAAGAAGCATTTATTTTTTTTTAATCACCTTGTATGTTAAACGTTATCTGATTGTTTGGAGCAGTGCCATCAGCATCCGATGCTATAACTTTATAAACAGAACTTCCTAGAAAATAAAAGAAATAAATAATATAGTAATACCTTAAGGAAAAATAAAGTAAACAAAAGTTAACATAATAGTATAAAAACTGTTGCGTTTAATTTACAAAACGATACAATTTTATCTTGAAATTGAAGACCACGTCATTGCAAGCACTCATTCCGCGCTTATTTATAAATGCGAATTGCTCTTGGTTTTTAAACATGGTCGTTTTCTCTGGTTACACTAAAAATGAAATATACCATACATATAAAATAAAGTAAAAATGTGTTTAAAAGTATATAAACTGTTGTGCTTGATTAAGAGAACGATACAATTTTATCTTGGAATTGAAATTCATGTTATTGCAAGCACTAATTCCGTGCATATTCATAAATGCTAATTGCTCTTGGATTTTAAAAATGGTCGTATTTCTGTGGTGATATATGAAATATACCATATCTCAGGACCAAAAAATGTTTATTACTTCTCCTCAAAGTTTTATAACATTACTAAAAGAATAACAATCATATGAACCATGTTTTTGCCTTTAATAACTCGACACATAAACCCACCTGATGGAGTTGACTCAAGAATATCGAAATTGCCGATGGTTACAAATTCTGGTATGTTGTCGTTATAGTCGGTTATAAAGATATTAGTGTTAACTGCTGAAGAAAATTGTCCATCAGATACCCTATAATATAATAATAAATTATGTAGTGTAATGGTTAAACAAATAACATTATTTTAACCCATTACTTCATATACACGCCTTTTAACGCCCTTTTCACCCCCCCCCTTTTGTTGTCTCAAATGATGAAAAAATGCCTTATTTAGGTCCCAAACACTTGTTTTTGTTTGAGAAATGTTGTTAAAAAAAGTGACCTCTTTTTCGGCGCGGCCCCCAACCAAAAGATACATCAGGGGGTTGCCAGAAGGGGGATGTGCCCCCTTCTGTTTGGGGGGGGGTTAAAGGGGGGCGGAGTCCCCCTCATCGCCAAGAAAATTTTGGACTTGTGAGAGGCTGTAAATGACCCCAGATTGATCATAAGGTAACGTGTAACCAACGCTGAAAAGCATTTGACTCTATCTCAATCCATTGAGAAGTTGCAGCACTTTGAAATCAATTTTGATGGAAAAAATCAACGCAAAATAGTGATTTTTGGCAATTTTGAGATGTCCCCTCGTTGCCATGGTAACAGAAAATTTAAGCCTGAGCATGTTGTTGCAAGGGCAATGGTCCAGTCATCATTTGTGCCAAGTTTGATTAGTGTTGAAGCAGTTTTTATAGTATTATAGCAATTTGAACTTGTAACGGGAGACTTTTCAATGAAAACAGCCATTTTTCACAAAATGCTCATGAAGTAATGGGTTAATGAAAAAAATAAAAAAATCTACAAAACAACAATTTTTCATCAAATTTATATGACAGGCCATGTTTAAACATGAAAAAACGCGATTTAGGGTAATTTCAAGTATTTTCATCATTTTCTGTTAACCCATTACTTCATATACACGCCTTTTAACGCCCTTTTCACCCCCCTTTTGTTGTCTCAAATGATGAAGAAATGCCTTTTTTAGGCCCCAAACACTTGTTTTTGTTTGAGAAATGTTGTTAAAAAAAGTGACCTCTTTTTCGGCGCGGCCCCCCAACCAAAAGATACATCAGGGGGTTGCCAGAAGGGGGATGTGCCCCCTTCTGTTTGGGGGGGGGTTGAAGGGGGCGGAGTCCCCCTCATCGCCAAGAAAATTTTGGACTTGTGAGAGGCTGTAAATGACCCCAGATTGATCATAAGGTAACGTGTAACCAACGCTGAAAAGCATTTGACTCTATCTAAATCCATTGAGAAGTTGCAGCACTTTGAAATCAATTTTGATGGAAAAAATCAACGCAAAATAGTGATTTTTGGCAATTTTGAGATGTCCCCTCGTTGCCATGGTAACAGAAAATTTAAGCCTGAGCATGTTGTTGCAAGGGCAATGGTCCAGTCATCATTTGTGCCAAGTTTGATTAGTGTTGAAGCAGTTTTTATAGTATTATAGCAATTTGAACTTGTAACGGGAGACTTTTCAATGAAAACAGCCATTTTTCACAAAATGCTCATGAAGTAATGGGTTAAAAGTCCATTATGCCCCAGAAATGATTTTATTCTATTTCTAAAAAAAACCCGAACAACAACTAAAAAAACTGTCTTTTACGTCGTGACAAATAATTTCACATTCGGCACTTCAGGTGACTAACAACTAACATGCTCTTAAAAAACATGACATCATAATAAATAAAAGTCATATTTGCCTTTCATAAAAAAGAAAGTATTTATTCATTTTTCAGGAATATTGTGCCCTTTAGTTTCTTAGATGTTGGAACAAAAATACTAAATATTCTTCACCAATGATCTGCTTGCGGTAATTGTTTCTACCAATGAGACAAGTGCCGACAAAATTTATGCAATATATATTTGAAAATAATCTCAAAAAGTGATGAACGGTTGAAATGCTGGACAAGTCTCAATGAATTAATATTTCGTAGTAAGAGATAAACAGAAGACTATCGTTATCTTGTTTATCATAATTTCAAACTTAAAACTTAAGACATAAGCTACTTTAATTCAACTGACATCAAAACCTTCGAGATGATAAAAATCAAACAATTATAGGTAACAGTGTTCATGTTTGATTTTTTCAATGAACTTAGAAATATAAGAAAAATTAATGTATACATTTAACTAAGAAAAAAACAAGAGTTTTCTTACTCTAAAACAATTGGGTATTTAATTACAGCATTGTCCCTGTCGTAATCAAATGTTCCTTCTGTCACACCAACTTTCACTTTGAGAGCATTGCCTACGAGCTCAAACAACTCCTTCGTAGTGGCATCCTGGCAACACAAAAAAGAATCAACAGTTTAGTGTGTCATGTTGAGTCACATCTAAGGTTTTCAGAGCAAATTGCATTTAAAACGTTATCAAAGCATTGTGTTTTGTAACTGGGGTAACTTTGAAAACTGCTTTTGGCGTGTATCACGGACCTTACAGATCTGCTCCCTCTAACATTTAAAAATTAGTAGATATGCTGTAACCTATATGTAAGAAATCGTTAAAATAAAATTCTGGTGTTGAAGTATTTTGAGAAAAATATTTGATTACTAAGATTATACCAAATTCATTTAAACAAACGGGAAGCTTTTTATTAAAAGTGTGGGGAATCGGATGATTGGAGATGGGAACGGGATACTTTAGTTCATTGACTGTTGAGCTATGTCATCAAAAACAATATAATTGTGCCTGGGCAATTAATTTCTTTAAATGCAGAATGTGTCTTTTTTATTGTTAATAAATGTCATACAGAACTGTCCATAGAATATGTAAACAAAGCAATGGCTGTATCTGGATCACTTGCAGATAACCACGTGACTACGTCGCCTCCTTTACTTGTCTCTACTAGTTGTATTTTATGTTTTTCACTTGTTTCATCAGGTGAAGGATTAATAAAAGTAGGTCCTGAAATATTGACCATGAATTAGATTTTCGAATTAACTTTTGTTTTTGTATTTTTCTTAGCCGCCGAGAAAGTTCCACAATTTTAATATTTACTCAGTTCAACAATTTTTGTTCAAATAATATTTCTAGGTTTTGTTTTGTAGTTTCTTTTTTAAATTGTCTGTGTTGTAACATTATATCAACTAAAAACATTAACAAACGGAATACTTATACATGTTCCATCAGTACGATATTATCAATAAAGCCCTTTTTAGATAAGATAGGACTAAACTATATAATTATACGAACACCTTTTAATGTTAAGTCTAAATTTCTTATAAGCTTGTTGTATTATTACTAATTCATACAAACCTTTGTACTCCAAACCTTCTGTAGCTATAATAACCAAAGAAATATCTTTAAACTCTTGACTTGTCGCATCCGATGCCCTAATATAGAATTAAATATGTTCATTACTTTCATCTTACCATTTTGTCTTACTTAATGTAACTAAAAGCATATGGTATGCGTGAATTTGACACGATATTAAAAGGAATACACTGTATCATATAGTAACATCGAAAGTTTTTTTTAAATGAATTTGCTACATATGACATAATATTGTCAGCACGAATACTCAACGAAGCAAAGTTACCAACTGTGAACTGTTGTCTTTTTGTGTATGTGTGCCTGTATGGTGGTGGAGATGGTGGTATGTCAGCATTCCGTGTGATATTTACTTCAAATTGATTAGTGCTACATTTGATTGACCACATTCATATATTTCCTGATTAAAACAATGATTAACATTCGGTGCTAAAAGAACGTTTGTTTTTAAAGATAATTTGGCATTGATTCGCATACCGATGTTCCATCTCAAATAGGTGAATACATTTGAAACCAAATACAAATCTCTAAATTTAAACCTAGCGCAATCAATAGTTGTATACTAAAGTACTTTGAAAACGCTTCGTGTAAGAGTGTTTTCACAACTAAGTCAGATAAGAAACAATACATAAGAATACTCATTTGTTCTTACCTATTTTTTTTTTCAATAAGACACCAACAATTATCGCATGAAAAAAACTGTACTCCAAAAATCGGAAGTAACACTTTAAATGTCAGTTATGTAGTAACTTCTAATAATAACAACAACAACAACAACAACAACAACAACAACAACAACAACAGCAACAACAAACCATTTCTACATTACCTAACATTGACAAAATATGTCGCTTTGCCACCGTTCGTTACTTTAGCTTGGTCACATATTAGTTTACCCGTGACTCCATCAATCCGTTCAGTCGCAAAGCCTCCTTCTGGACCTTCTGCTACCACTCTGAAATAAAACGACAAGATCGAGAATAATATAACACAAAATAAAATAAGGTAAGCCTTTCTCCATCCACCACCAAACACTGCCAATTATGAAATGAAGAAATAGAAAGAAAGAAAACATTCTTCTAAAGTTAAAAAAAGTTCGGATAGAAGTTCGCATCTATGGTTCTAACATGTATATTATTTTGAAACCGTACGAATATGATATTATTAACGGATACAGTGGGAAACTAAATAGCAATCCAATCCTGAATACTTTGATTGAAATGGTGATCATCATAAAGCGAAATTCCTTTAAGGCATTCAATACAAACTGTTTTTATCAATATGCAACTCTTACAACATTGGATGATAAACAATAACACATAATGTACCTTCACTTATATTCTCATGGTATTTTTATTTTTAACTTTAAAAAATTGCAAACATCATATAGTGTGTTCATATTTCTATTCTTCTGTCAAGTTCAAGGGGAGTGGTGGCCTAGTGGTGAAAGTGTCTGCCTCTCAACCCAGGGATCATGGGATCGAGCTCCACTTGAGTCCCGACCATATATCTTCATATGATACTAATACTAGTTGGTTCCAGAATGCGGACGGACTTGAAATTTCACCATTTTTATGTTTAAATATTGAATTCTGCTTAAGCCGGTGCTAGGGGGCATGGACGGTAACTTGCACTTTCCAGAACCGTCCAATAACAGGCTCAATCAAACCGAGCCTGCGAAATTTTACAATTTTACCGTGTTGGGCTTTCTTTAGAGATTCAATTTTTCTCTATTTTGAAATTGGATAATATAAGTTGCTAGAAATTGTTTCGCAATCGAGCCTAAATCAATATGTTAAAACTAATTAAACTAACTTTTAAAATGCTGACGTTTTTGACATCAGAAAAAACTTGTTCAAAATAATACATACTTAAAAGTGACTTCCGTTCCTACAAGCGGCTTAGCTTTTAATTCAGTAACCTCCTCACAGCCAGTATTAGATGTGTAATCCAAGTAAAATGTTAATTCCGTCGGGATAGTCCATTCTGGCGGTGCAGGAGCTCCACCCAAGGTGATTGCAATTAAACCTAAATTTGGATAAATAAAAAACAAATTTTTTCTTGTATGTTATCTGTAAACAGTCCGTGTTAATTCGGTAATTTACGTCATCTTTGGGACAAATAAGATATATAAACGGGGATTGACTTTTTCTCATCCCAAATATGAAATGTCAAATTTTACGAATCTAAACAATATAAGAATTACGTTAGGTTTATTTTGCATGTGAGATAATTATAGTATTTTTAAAAGTTTGAACGGTCAATATGTAGGTCGTTACTGTCTGTGTTTTGGTACTTATCTCATTTTTTTTGTTTTGTTTTACTAATTCGATTATTCATTCAATTGATTATTATATAAATAAAGATAATAAATGATTATTATTGCCGCCAACTTCACACATCTTTATTATATAAATAATTCTACGTATTCTAAGTTAGTCGTAAATTTGAACAATTTACAGATACCACAGCAAAATGTAGGATGAGACTTTTTCACATCATAGGAGACTGTTATACTAAGTTAAGTTGCTTTTTATACCTTTTAATATAATAAAACTGAGGATTGCTTCTTGCATATTTCTGCACATCCTGGAATATAAAGAAAATCATAAAAAATAGAAATATTGGGAATGAAATTGCTTATTTCTGTAATTCTGTACGTTTGTTTTAACATCTGTCTTAGAAAAATGACATAACATTAATTTCATCATTATTTACAAATATAAATAATAGATATGATTGACATAGGGTAACTTTGTTGACTTGTTCAATTTAATTTACACTTTTGTGTCTTTTAGGAGCATATTGGGCTAAGATTGAGATTTTGGCGCGCCTAAAACCGGTTTAAACTCCACAGTGGTTTAACTACCACTGACCGTTCCAAGGCGGTACCTCTTTGTGTTCCTTTGCGTGCTTTTCATGTCTGTATTGTTACTTGTTTCGAATGTTTACATGTTTTGTGATATGTTGTTGGATTGTCGTCGACGGTAGGTATTTTCTCACCCCCTCCCATTTTTACCGCCTCCCGTTTTCACCGGTACAACCCTAATCCCTTAAATACCTATATAGGCCCGTTTTGGTTTTTGTTATTTCACACATTACGTGTCCCTCTCCTTTCGCCGCCCTGGTGTCAACTCCCGATTTTGGTTTGGTCCCTTCTGGGTGCCCTGCTTGGGTGTGTCGGGGCGTCCTGTGAACGTTACCTTTGCCTTTAAGATCTTTATTCTTGTTTTTCAATGTTAAAGATATATTATGCGCAAATTTGATATCAGAAAATATCAATAATTGCTACACAGTCACTTTGTAAAAATTAAATAAACATGTTTTAACTTCACACAAAGTTAATATGTAGTGTTTAAACGCTACACACATAGGTCGTCAATATATGAATATATAGTGTTGTTAAAGAAAACTGGCAGTTTTTTTTAAGACAGTACCAACTTTTCTTGTCCTGTTTTAGAGAACGTGACATCCAAAAGTTTAGCATTCATTTTTTATTTAAATAAGACATATTCTGTAAGGTTTTAATTTAATTTCTTCGATTAAAATATTGTACTCAAAGATGAGCATAGTATATCGTCTGAACATGCCTCAATTTTATTGTATATATCTATATTTTTAAAGCTGCATTTTAAAAATTTCGTAAAACCTGAAATACCAATATTTCGTTTATAAAATGGGGTTTATATTATCTCCCGTTCTTATTTTTGTGTCTAGACGACCAATTACTGCACCATCATTGTGGCGAAATCGGAAGAACAGTTTCTGTTTACATGTAAAACTCCATCTTTGGTTCATCCGATCATCAACAGAAAATCAACAAACAGTCCGAATTTTAATGTACATTGCCGCATTTTATACGTATAACGGCTGTTTTCATACATCTATTTTATGAGATGATTTTTTATTTTTGGTATGTACGACAAAAAAAACAGTACATTATTTCATTTTTGACTTGTACGTAGTACATAATCATACATTATGTGCATAATGTGATAATACATTGATCAAAATAATACATTTTCAATACTAATTTTCAATTCATTATAACTTGAAAGACAATGCCACGTTACATCTATAAGTCTTTAGTAATAATTTTAGATCCAATCTGCACCATAATTTTATGATTCTAACATATCAATTAATAAAAAGAGGATATTTTCCTAAATCTCCATATACTAGTAAACTCCCGTTACTCGTATTACGTCTAACTTACTAAATTTATGTGTCTTAGGACTAATTTTAGCCCCAAACCTCGGATGAGTATCATAAAATCCATTTAACAAATGCAACAAAAATGCTGACACATTAGTTTTGGTTTTAGACAAAAATCTTTACAATTAAACAAAAACATAAATTTCTTTTTAAAGATTTACCAATCAATTGTTCCCTGTGTAACGAAAAATAACCAGTGTAGCCGAAAACTGAGCCAAGATCATTAAAATGATCTTCAGGAGTGGCGGCACCTTTTATTATTTTTAAGACAATGTTAAATTTCCTTTTGTGCAGTAAATATAGCATCTATAGTTGATTTTCCTTTCCTGACATCAAACTGACAGTCTGATATGAACAAACATTTTCAATTCTAGAATTTAATACAATGGTAAAAAGTTTAAATAAACAACTTAGGAGAGTAGTATTCCCCCTGTATTGTTTAGTCATTCGAGTCATCCTGTTTGAACACAGGCACGATTATACCCTCTGTCCATTTATCTGGAAAATATGATATACAAGATCAACAAGTAAAGATGGAGTTCAATCAAAGCAACCCCCACACGACCCAGCAACAAGAACAAGCATCAAGGAGCCCAGGAGGATCCCAAACAAAAATAGGAAAGGGCACAAGGCAGAGTAACCAGACTCTAAAATAATATTTAATAAATCATATATATTTCCACATAAAATATCTACGGAGGATATATCAAACAGTCTGATCTGGAACATTTATTTTGTTTTAAAGAATTTACAACTTCACTACGGATTTCCTCACATGTAATGGGTTAATCTAACTCATCAAACCTACAGTCAATTGAATTAAAATCATATTATTTACATAATGTTTACACTCTAAATGTTTTGATAAAAATATTGTCAAAACATTTATTGAAACCTTCAAAGGAAATGTCCCATGAAACCGATTATTTATTTTTTAAAATGAAGCCAAAATTGTTTTGGTTTACTATATCGTAATTTTTCAATTTTGAAATATTTCCTCTTTTTATATGATTTCTTTTTCATACTGGTTAAATCCTTTCATTCTTTTTACGTGAACAAAAATAAGCTCTACTTTCTACATCTTTACAATAATAAAAATTATGCAAAGCATCTAAGTAAGGATTTTACAGCAATCTTAATTCATAATCAAGCCAGTCTGCATTATTTGAAGTAAAGCTATCAGTAAACGAAGGACAGACCTAATGTGCCGCACTCGGTTTAGATAAAAATATCTCATATTTGCCGCGTTCCAGATAACAACTATTAAAGATACGCATATTTGTAATATTTGTAAAATGTAGGTTTTATTATTTACAATGGCATTTATTTCACTCGTCAACATTACACATTTTATATCTGTTAGATTAAAATAAAACTACATCTTTAACATGTTTCTTTGAAACAAGATAGCATGGTGCTATATCTGTTTTGACGTAGGTGTCATTTCTTCTTTTAAAGAAATGTAAAGATACTGAAAAGAAACAAATTAATAACGGATGCATACTCAGTATGTGTGACAAGGTTTGTTCATAAGAGGCAATATAAAGAGAAACGTTCGTTACCAAACACCTAGCACCGGTTTGATTTGTATTTAAAAAAAAGGTTTTTTAATAATAGTGCCAAAATTTTTAGAAAAATATGAATAGATTAAAAAGAAATCTCTTCAAACAACATCGCTAGTTAGGGTAAGAAAATAACTTATGGTGCAGCTCCTGTGAGATCAACGGAAACAACATGATAAGCGATAATCGCAGACAAGAACTTAGAAAGTAATGATAATGAAATGTTTTCATATCTCGTATTTTAAATTACTTCCTATATAACATAAAAGCAATTTCAAATTGACCGCATTGAGGGCTTGGACGATATCTTGTATTTATTGCTACCATCAATAAACAGGCTCAATCAAAGCGAATTTGCAACAACGTTTTAATATTGGACATACATTTTCTATTTTCTTACTGTCATGTCAAGATTAACTTAAAAGGATACCATAAAAAGTAGATATTCTAACGATTAGTCACGGCCGTCCAAAAACATATTTTGTAATACGAACCAATTGAGTTAATGCGATATTAAACACAGGTGTGCTAAAATCATTAAAATACATGCCATGTTAATGAACCATTGCATTTGCATAAATTTCGAAAGCTGAAAGAGAAGACATGACAAAACCGCAATACACTTGTCCGATTCAAATTTGAACAGTTGGATAATGTAATGCAAAATATTACGCAATTTGTTGCTCGTAAAATGTCTTTGTTCCAATTTGTTGCATTATTGTAATAACAAAAATGTAGCATAAAGAATTTTGGTATACATAAAAATGGTAATTCGTGTCTAAGCACATGTTTTATGATTTTTTAAAGATTACATTCAAATAAGGCTACATATCTACTTATGATACTTTACAAGCTACGTTAAAAGTCGGGCTAAATATAAAGATGTATTCAAAAATATTTGAATACTTACAGATACTGTTTGAATGTATATGGCAATGTTAATTGTGGATATACATTGTATATGTGTCTATATATTGCTTAACATTGCGTGTGTATATCTTGATCTTGGTAGTAAAGTGTAATAAAATAAGTGCTCTGAATGTGATTTATTTTTGGTAGTGTAAGGGCTATGTCCTTTTAGAAGTCACATTGAACACAACTAAACATAATCTGTTATATATATATAGACTTGCATTATAAACCGTTGACCAATTTTGCACATAATTTCAGTGATAGATATTAAAATGCAATACAATAAAATATATATCTTAAATATAGAAAAAGAAATCACCTCATATTGCCCAAACAGCAAAATGGAAAGTCTTGAGGGCTCGGTTTGATTGAGCCTTTCATGGACGGAAGTGATCGTCCTCGCTTCTTAATACCTTAACAAATTTCAAAATTAAAACACAAAAAATCGAACAAAAAACACATTCTGCTTTATGTAACAAATAAAACGAAAAAAAAACGCACAAAAACCCACAGCTTAAGAAAATGATACCACTCACTTTCGTAGAATTACTATCGGTCCAAATAAGCGATTTATTAAATTCCACTTGTTTTTAAATTACAATATGCTACTAGGTCAGAATCTAACGTCTTATTTATTTGATCAGTCTGAATCTTACCCGATCATGATAAAACAATTCTTTTGTTCATTTTTGATATCTCAACTGATAACATTTTTACATAAATTCTGTTAATAGAACAATCGACTGGACTTAAAGTTTTAAACATGTACAGCAGTATTACGCGTTAGTTGTAAGCATATAGTATTACCTCTAAACTGTACACTCGCATTCAGTAAAATGACAATTTTTCAAACAATCAAATTAAATATAAATAATAATTCTTCAAAAATATAGTGCAAATTAATAAAAATTGGGCAAAAATTAAACAGAACAGATTATGATCTTTTTGACAAAAAAGAAATCATTAACGCTGCGTTTTGATTAAGAGGTGTGAAACAATTTAAAATGCTGGATAGAATAGAATAGAATAGAATAGAATAATTTTATTTCACCAATCAAGGGTCATACTATATGACATATATAATCACAAGCATAAAACATAACGCATGAAACAAAATATATCAACCAACAAATTGTGTATTGTATGGTAGAAATGAAGACAATAAAGTAACTAAAGCTTAATTCGTATTATTGGAAAAACAAATAACACAGGCATAGTAATGTTAAAATAAGAAGTAAATAAATAAAACAGTATTAAAAAATCAAAAACAATCAACAAAAAACACTAATTACTCATTCGATATTCAAGTACAATACTATACATTCAATGGTCTGACAAATTTTTATTACTAATAGTACTACCTAACATAAGATTTCTTTTATTATAAATTTCGAGTAGGTATTTAGAAAATGTGAATACATTGTGTTATAGACAAACAAATAGTACATTTAAATATATTTAAAAAAGTGATACTAAATGCGTGCTTATCCAACATCATTTTGTAATCGGATTACAATTCAACACGACCCTCTAGAGTAATAGAGGCAGATATCACGAAACTCACTCGTTAAAGTCTCAAGTTAAACTTTTGCTAGCCAAAAAAATATACATCAAACAAGAGTGTGGGTTGACGGATTAGTGACGGATTACAATTTTATCATCATCTTAAACCGCAAAAATACCCACATGAAATTAATACTAGTAAGCTATCCTTAATGAATAACAAATTTAACTTTGTTCCCAAGCTTTTTTTATCTTCGCTTTTGCTTAACTTTGATATAAACACTTTCAGTAAGAAATTGACAAACGATCTTCATTTACCACCCTGCATTGAACTGGCAAGTTTTTGTTTAATTGAATTTATGATGTTTTCGTTTGAGGTCATGCCGACATTGTAAAGGCTATGTAACAACTTGCTAGTTGGAGGAAAGACTCACTCGTGCATTATTTCCGACCAATTTTAGGATCAATTTAAATATGCATTTTAGTTTAGCGCGGAGGAAGGTTGTCTAGTACTGGTGTAACTCTCCAGGAACGATGGTTAGGAAACTACCCGCCAATATGACTGAAATACTGTTGGGAAAAGGCGTAAAATAAAAAACAAACAAACAAAAACTATGCATTTAGAAGTTAAAAAAAATTCTTTTGGATAAAAAATAATACTTGAAGATGCAAAAAAAAAAAAAAAAAAAAAAACAAACAACAACAACAAAAAAAAAAACAAAAAAACAAAAACAACAAAAAAAAAACCCAGCAAAAATATGAAAAATAAAATATTTTAAACAACAACAACAAATATGACGTGTTATATTACGAATAATAGCTAAATCATTTTACATGAATGCATAATTGTTTGCAAAGGAACACGTTTAATACTATCGAGTGGTTTGTTATTGTATTGAAATATTAAAATAAATTGCGAATCAAGAAATAATTGCATTATTTCCGTTCAAAATTTTTAATAGTTGTATAATGAAAAGTTATTTTTATTGAACATAATAAAGTTAGAAATACGCTTTTATGCCATGAAACATGAATATATTACTATATTGTTTGTACATAATTTGTTACTGTGAAAGAAGAATTGGTATCAGGTTATAATATAATTGCAATTTATGAAAAATGAGCATATAACTTAAGGTGATGAGTGTTCCGATGCTATTATTTCACTTTTGTATTCATATATTTCACATTTGTTGAGATGCAATTGTGTCATATAAACAAAGATAAAACAAAATGACAACAAGAAATCTAAATTAAAATATAAAATATTGCATTAAAGAAAAAAATAATAAAATCAAACCTTTTAAGATTTATGCATTTATATCCCAACAAAATAAATAACACAGCTTTGTGAATAAAGGAAAGTTAAACGAAATTTGATGGCTCACGATTCTGTCATGGTCGTCTGCACACATCACCCACGACATCCTTATCTTGGTATTGATATGGTGTGTTTTTTTTTGTATTATTGAAATACACATTACATTCTCATACTGATGATATCATCAACAGAATTATATAATTGAGCAATAAATGAAAGACAGTTAAAATAGAAATAAAATTAAAACCTGCATAAAAACAAACTATTCAAGCAAGAATGAAACTTATTACATGATACCTTTTTAATTTCTGGGTAAATTATAACTATTTGGCCAATTTTCATATTTTACAAAACGTTTTTTAACGTTCTTGAGTATTAATTTTCACGATTTTATAGTTTAGTTTACTTTTCTAACCAAAGTGGGGTTTTTTACGGTTGCAGTAACTGAATCTTAATTGTCTTAACTCAACACATGTATTTATTATATTCATGGTCCAATATATTTATCATGAATTGAGGCCTTTAATCGCAGATATATTGAGTTTTGATATAATTTTAGCCAGATTTTAAATGCATGCACTAAATTGTTATATCATATGCGGAAACGAAAAAAGTAAAATGTTCAATGAAAAATACTGAGTATCTGGTCAAGCATTCTTAGACTTTAACAAATCAAGTTAGAGTTACCTTATGCTAATTTTTTGCTGTCAGGTTTACTTCGTTATATATTTCAAAAGATTAGCTATTATAAAGGTGTTTGACCAAAAACTGATGACGAAACATGTGTTTGTACGTAAATTATAAGAAAAAGAAATTGCCCCACTTTCATTCAGAATAAAACATTACCGATACTTATAACGATATTTATAATAATTTCAGTTGGTTATGTTATTGATTATTTTTTTCACAGTGAACATAATTATTGCCGAATGTCAAGTCATTCTTACTTTAACCAGTTCACTGACAATATATATTTTAATGGGCATAATGTCAATTTTAAGTTGTTTATTTCAACGACTCTCTAATATATAATCAATGCTGACAGTTATTTTGTCATATCTGTTACAACAGTTGCAGCCAGAAAAAGGTATTTTTGTAGCAAATGCAATATATTTCTTTACTTTGGTAAAATGGCATTATTTCAGTTTGTTTGAAAATTGGTTGAAGATTTGGATAACTATGCATTTGACCCAATAATAAAACAAATGATTAAATTTTAATAAAGAAATTCATTTCAGAAAGTGAAAACATTTTGTTTCATAAATACAATATTAGAAGATACTCCACAAAAACTGCTTAAGGTATAAAAAACTAAAAAATAAATTATTTGTATAATTCTATTAGAAACCTTTAAGAATATTAATATTAATATATAAATAATGAAATCAAATCCTATACAATTGATTTATGCCCTAATCATCGAAAAATCGTTATGTGCTTTAGTTATAATGTTTCATATTTATAAATATTCCGTTTATTTCGTTCAATGAAATAAATAACAATGTGTCATTTTCAGCCGATCAAATATGCTCTTTACAACCTTTGGTGTTTTTCCTCGATGTATTAAAGAAAGAATGTATTTTTTTCCTTCAAAATAGTGATAGAAAATGTTTAACATCACATTTTTTTTATTTCGCCCGCGCTATTCGCGCGTCTTAATATCAAAAATGATTCATTACCCAGTGAGACATACGTATTCATATTTCATATTCAACCAAAAACAAACATATTGTCCTTTATGGATTACCGGTGTTGCCTATCAACAATGACTCTGCTAAAGTCTCCACATGATTGAAAATATTTAAAATTACACGTGTCTTAAATCATTAATCTACGTTTAGAAAGTGTTGACTACATACTGATTTTGTCATTAGAAACCCACTCTTCGTATCATCTTCATACTATGTTACAACGTTTTCAGTCTCTCTTTCAGCAGCATATTATTCAACCATAAACAGCACGAATTAAGGTCAAAATTGATACTTGATCACCCAGGGGGAAATACAGAGATGCTTAACAATGTTATTGAAGTTATGACCACTTACCGTAAACAGATTGATTTCGTGCATTCGAAATTTCAATAGCAATATTATGAAATTGTATAAATATGAGTTTTTATACCCTAGCTGAGGCGTTGCTGTCATTGTGGATTTTAAATTGATAGATTGATGCACAAAAGTTGGTAGGATGGAAAATTGCTCAGACAACCGCTATGATTATTTTGTAAATGTCTCGTGCGAATATAGATCGGTTTATTCACAAGATTTTGTGAGTTCATACACTGTGAGGAATTTTTTTGACCATCAAAGTTGTTTCCAAATATGAACATTCCAAGAGGATAATCAAATGAACGAGATGGTGTGCTATTTTTTTTACGACAATTATACGTTTAATAACATTCACGTTGGAAAAATTAATTATGTTTATTATCATAATAACAGCGATACTTTACAAACAAAGATTTGTCTACATAAAGTTTGATTTATTAATTCATCATATTGTTCACCGATCGATAATGAAAACAAATCGACATTTTTGTAAGCGGTTTCATGGTACCTAACTTTTTACGCAGGGTATGTCTGAAAAGGTAGACTTCTTTATGTAAATAGGCTAAATTTGCTTAAGTATTATGTAATTCTAGAGGGGCGTAATTTTAAATGTCCAGTTTCAATAATGTACTTACTTACAAATGAAACTTACTGACTGATTTAATTATTTAATTGTCTATGAATATATAGGCAAAATTTGAATTATAATAATTTATCAGATGTGATTATTTGTAAGTCAAATAATTGCAAAATTAAAAAAAAAAATGCACACGCATCAATGCAAACGCACAAATAAGTACAGAAACACGGTAAAACGTAAAACACATGCATAGTTAAAAGATACAAAAAATTGTATGTACTCATAACGTATGTCATGTATGACACATGTGTTTTGAATGAAAGAGAAAAACTTAAAAATTTACTTAAATAATGTTATAGTCATTTCAGTCCCCAAATGCCTGGGTTAATTTTTGCTCTTATATCATATTCTTTTCTTTAATTGCTATAAACATTTGTCTCAAATGAGCAATTACGAATAATTAATATAAAACCTCAGATGACAAAAGCATATTTTTATCCTTAGTATTACATTACACTAAGTGACTAAAACTATGAGCTCAGAGTCATTCCAGTAGTATAATGTTGCTGATGATATATTAAACAATACAAAAATAGGTTAATGCTCATTCATGAATGATATTAAATCAAATAGAGCAATATCAAAGTCAAGAAGCGTGAAATACTGTTTGGATAAAAGAAACGATATATTGACTTACACAAATAACCATGATGAATTGTAAGGTTGTAAACCATTTAGATAATTGGTTCAGACTGAAATGTCGGAAACTTCATCTTTATTGGGACGATTCAAATTACTTGGACTTGTTTACAACAGAAACATGGATTGGTAAATCGTGGTTGTTCCATAATATAACTGTTAAAAGAAGATATAATCTAGAAATGAAAAACTGTATTAATGTTATTGTAGAAATTAAACAGTAGGTAGTATGTTTTCAAAGTTAAATCTTTGGAAAACTTTTGTATTTAGTATTCACTATTTAACCGACACATCCACCAGAAAAAATCACCTCTGGATAGTCATTGAATGCTAACCGTTATAATGACTCGGCTTATGCAGCCGATACCTGGTCAAAGTTCGTCAAATTGGATGTTCATTATATGATTTTATTAATAAATCAATAAAACAAAACTATTTTCGGGCAGTAGGGGTGTCACACTTCAAACGCATTTTCTTATAATTATTTTATTGATCCGAATTTAATGTAGGCATATGAAAGTAAGATTAGAACATAACATACAAGTAAAAAATTGCTGGGAAATGCAGCAATATGATTGTCACGGCGAAAAAAAAAAAAAAAAAAAAAAAAAAAAAAAAACACACAAAAAAAAACCAACAAAAAAAAACCCAGTTAAATATATTGATAAGGTATCTCCAAATAGCATTGTTTTGAATTGACATGTTAACTTGTTCAGAAGGTTTTAAAATATCATAATCATGTAACTTGTTACAAGAGCCATGTTTATATGTAGTAGAGCAGAATAATTATCATTCTTGTGTACTGCATACCTCTCGAATGAGATTTATCCACCTGAAGGTTCATGTTGATATCTCAAAGGCCTTTGTAGTTATGCTCTGGACAAAATTAAGTATGAAAAATAACAAAGGGCAATAACTGAAAAATAATGCACGGTAGGTGTCTTGTGTGCTGCACTCCTCCTCAATGAGATCTATCCACCTAATAAGTTTCAAGTTGATACCTCTAACACCTTTTTGAGATTATTATTATTATTATTATTATTATTATTATTATTATTATTATTATTATTATTATTATTTTTATTATTATATACCACATTTCTATAGCAATCTTTTCATAAATAATAAATGTTCAAGAGTGCTTTACATAAATCCGATAAAACATAATCATATATATATAAGACAATAATGTACAACATTAATTAAGTAAACCTATTAAACAATAATGATAATCTAAAACCAGTAAAGGATGGTAAGAAATACAGACACATTTAGTTTAAAATCAAGGCTCAATTAATAATAATTGAGATAAGCTCCGGACAAAAAGTACGAAAAATAACAAATGGCAATAACTAACAAAATATAAAGGGTATTATTCTTGCGCACAACATTCCTCCCAAATAAGATCTATCCACCTATAAAGTTTCATGTTGACATTTCAAAGACTTTTTAAGAGATATGCTCCACTCAGCTGAAAAATTTAGTATGGAAAATAACAAAGGGCAATAACTCAAAAATTATGAAGGGTAGAGTTATCACTCTTTTGTACTGAATACCTCCTGAGTAAGATCTATCCACCTATGAAATTTCATGTTGAAATCTCAAATGCTTTTGTAGTTATACCCTGGCCCCGTGTTCACTAAGAAAAGATCAGGATCAGGATCAAGTGATCCTGATTTTATTTTCATTGTTTAATGTTACTAAAATTATTTGTGTTTTGTTGAATTAAATTGTAAATATTCAAAATGTAAAAATATGCTGATTTGCAAGGAAAA